TAAAAATAAGAAGAGAAATACTGAATTCTACATGGTTTATTATACACATAAAAACATGCATTATAATACATTCATGAAAAGTTACATTACATATTAATGAAAATGAATGAATAATGATAAATATAATGCCGTATCCTAAAGGTAACAATTTCTAAACCTAGCATTTTACTGATTGAAACAAACACATATCTCAAGCAAAAATAAAGCGAAGCCATTTTTCCGTCATTTATTTACACTCTCATCATAACCAAATTTGAGTAAAACTCATTATTTAAAAACATCTTGTGGAACGAAATATTTTGTAATTTGTTCCAACAACTTAAAAAAGACAGTTAGTTTACTTTATTCTCAATGAAAGGATGAGACAACTGCAATAGCAGTCTTAAGTCCTGTAATTTCTATGTTTTTTATGATTATGGTAAATTTAAAAGTAAGTTTGAGAAAATGTAATTAAGTTTTCTCTAAGGCTAATCCTTCGTGGTTCCCGATGGTTTGAAGTGGTCGTCTTAGAGGGGTACTATTCAGTATTGGTGTTTATTTATAAAATGAGCACTTTCAGAGGTGATTTTATTAAGAAAGTGGTCGCCAGAAGAGGGTGGGTTGAAAAATTTGTGCTTATGGTAAACAGCTGCTTTACCTCTTTCCAAATGATGGACAGTATATTCCATGGCTGTCTATTAATCTGTTAGCAAGACAGAATTGCCAAGAAATGACTAAGCAATGTCACAGGACTTGGTAACCCTAAGCAGGCTTCAAGAATCAGTCCTCTGAAAATCAGTTCTTTGCACAGGTCATCTTCTATGTTCTTTGACTTGTAGTGGCATTAGGTTTTTTTTGAAGCAGGAGACGTGAAAAATGTACAGTTTAATCTCCAGAACTGGACCCCTGGACCTCTCGAATTCTCGCCAAAAATGCTTCCAATTACTCCACGAAGGTATGCGGAAAGCAAGAAGAAAATACCTTATAAACTGAGAAAATTAACATAAACAATATTCTCTTGCCCAGGTTGTCGGTAAGTCAGGAGATTATGAATTTATTTTGATCGATATGCCAGCGAAGTTCAATTAGTCAGCTAAGAATTTAATATCTCGCATTCTTTTCATTACTAATTGAAACATGTGTAGATTGCTCAAAATGCTAGATTACAATGTCGTTTTAATTAGTTACACCACCTGATAACCAGAAGGTCGGTTATCAAATTTTATAACATAATTCCTTCTTACGTAGAATGTTATCATTTAGCTTATCAAGTTGCGTAATATAATTTCATTTTAAGTACAATTTTCTTCTTACACGAGATGAGAATCAGCAAGAATTTCTTCATCGGCTAAATAAAACAGTTCAGAAACCTTATTATTTTTCCTTCCGCTTTTTTTTCCGTTACAAAATCATTTCTGTTGAGTTTTTCACTCTAACGGTTTAAGGTAAATGTTCCTTAATGTTTATGTATTAATGATTTCATATTTTAATAAATAATTCTGTTAATTAACATTTACAATATTTCTTTCGGTGATTTATTTTAAAATATATTCCAATTTCTTAGCTAACGTAACGAAGGAACAGAATTAAGCTTAACAGTTTGGATTAAAATGAGTTCCAAAACTAGTTAACCAAATGTCAACTAGATGAACATCAATAAAGAAACTTCATTTGAACCTTCCCCTCTCATAGAATAGCTTGCACTTTTCGAATTCCTCAGTAAAATTGGACGTTGATCTATGAAAAATACGACTAGCGAAACCAAATTCACTGTTGACTAAAGAAAGTAAAGTACAGACTTTTATGGGTGTGATAACATCTTTTCATTCAATACATTCTAGCAGTACGTAAGCGCAACTATCCAAGTATCTAGCAAAGAAATTTGGCTAAATCGCAGAATAGGCTGCATCAGTCGATGCTGTGTTTACTTCTCTTATGCTTGGACACGCCTTTTTATGACGTAATATTGGTTACGCCTCTTCTTAAAAACAAGTTATAAGTATGCTATAGCTTCGTATTTAAAGAAAACTTACATGAAGTTTTAACTGCGTTGAAATGGTATGTTTATAATGTTCTGCGCGAGATATTTTTAATTATAAATCTACTTTTGTGTGGTGTGTGGTAGTGTTAGCATTTAACGAAACGAATTATCTCTGACAAATGTATTATTAAGATACCAAACGATTGAAAACGATCATTACCAAACGATTGAAAATATTGAATGCATGAGTTAAAAATTATAACCGTAACTTCTGAAAATACAGAAAAAAATTCTTTTGCTTAAAGAATGTTTTGATTATTGATGAGCATCTAAATCTGGATTTTTTTTTTTAAATCAGTTGGAACGAAGAGGCAAAAAGAGCGTTATTGAGTGGTGTATGGAGAAAAGTTTGATTGCAATATCGTATAAGTGCCCAATTTGTGGAACAAATATGAAACTAGTAGAGAGACGATTTTGAGTGGTGCGCAATGCCGAGTTTGTGCAATTCTGAGATTTTTTTAAGTGAAAATTCATCGATATGCACATGGGCAAAGCCAATGCCGTGCGCGATGCCGAGTTTGTGCAATTCTGAAGTGTTTTTTTAAGTGAAAATAGATCGATGTGCACACGGGCAAAGCCAGTGGGGTGCGCAATGCCGAGTTTGTGCAATTCTGGGATTTTTTAAGTGAAAATAGATCGATGTGTACATGGGCAAAGCCAATGTGGTACGCAATGCCGAATTTGTGCAATTCTGGGATGTTTTTGAAGTGAAAATAGATCGATGTGCACATGGGCAAGCCAATGTGGTGCGCAGTGCCGAGGTTGTGCGCGATGCCAAGTTTGTGCAATTCTGGGATTTTTTAAGTGAAAATTGATCGATGTGCACATGGGCAAAGCCAATGCTGTGCGCGATGCCGAGTTTGTGCAATTCTAGGACGTTTTTTTAAGTGAAAACAAATCGATGTGTACATGGGCAAAGCCAGTGTGGTGCGCAATGCCGAGTTTGTGCAATTCTGGGATTTTTTAAGTGAAAATAGATCTATGTGTACATGGGCAAAGCCAATGTGGTGCGCAATGCCGAGGTTGTGCGCGATGCCAAGTTTGTGCAATTCTGGGATATTTTTTTAAGTGAAAATAGATCGATGTGTCCATGGGCAAAGCCACTGCAGTGCGCAATGACGAGGTTGTGCGCGATTTTGAGTTTGTGCAATTCTCTGATTTTTTTTAAAGTGAAAATAGATCGATGTGTACGTGGACAAAGCCAATGCAGTGCGCAAAGCCGAGGTTGTGCGCGATGCTGAGTTTGTGCAATTCTTGTATGTTTTTTGAAGTGAAAATAGATCGATATGCACATGGGCAAAGCCATTATGGTGCGCAATGCAGAGGTTGTGCGCGATGCCGAGTTCGTGCAATTCTGGGATGTTTTTTGAAGTGAAAATAGATCGATGTGCACATGGCAAAGCCAAATGTGGTGCGCAATGCCGAGGCTGTGCGCGATGCCGAGTTTGTGCAACTCTGGGATTTTTTTTAAGTGAAAATATATCGATGTGCATATGGGTCAAAGCTAATGTGGTGTTCAATGCCGAGTTTGAGCAATTCTCTGATTTTTCTTTAAGTGAAAATAGATAGATGAGCACATTGGACACCGAGTTTGTGCAATTCTTTGATGTTTTTCGAGCGAATACTGAATTCGTTGTGTAGAAGAGAAAAACGAGGTTGTGTGTGATGTCGAGCAGTAATGTAACTTTTATGTATGTACAATGCTTAATCATATTCGTTTAGTGTATTTTAAATTGGTATTGTTGTTTTAATTGTAAATTATATTTAAGACGTCATTTTTGTTATTTAAATTGTTATTTTTAATTTTTTTGTGTTGATATGTTTATAACGCTTTCCGACATACGACATAAATATTCGATAGTCCGACGATCTACTCAACAGTAGCAAAACTGTTAACTTTAACCTCTATGAAGTAACGTTTACCTCATATTTTAATTGCACTTTATAATATGAGTTCATTGATAATATGTGTGTGTGTGCGTATGTGAAGCATTGCTTAATGTTCCAAGTTTGTAGTATTTATTTTATTATATTATTTTCTTTCATTCTGAGAAATTAGATTTTTTTATTTATTAATGCGTAGAATTCTAGCATGCCTACACAGAATATGGCGTGATTTAGGAATTTTAGAAACTGACATGAAAGCTGTGTAATGATGTTCATATGCAATAAAAATATTCTTCTTTTTTTATTAATGTAAAGTTTAAAAATTTTTAGAAATAATGAAAGTCTAATTAGTGGTATGTAAGGAATTGTCGTTACGTAGCAAGAAGGTAATTTGTAAAAATTATAAAATTGAAATGTTCCACAATATGAATTTAAATTAAAAAAATATATTTTACTTGTATAAATAAAAACAATTAATAAAAATAATAATAATAATTTAATAAAAAAAATCTTTGAAAATATTGAAGCTCTACAAGTATTAGAGACTGCGACATTTTTTATCGTTTTTAATAATTGGTAGAATTCGCTCACTGTATCATGGTAATTTTAAATATAAACAATTTATTATACTTATTATCAGTAACGCCTAAGCTTAAATGTTATAAATGTAAATTAAAAATAAAGAATTTGATATTAATTTACAATAATAAACAATTTATTATTGTTATTTTTAAGAGAAAATAGAAAGTACACGTAGTGTAAATGCGAGACTACATTGTGACGTCATAAGCTTAGTCCCACCCATTTATGGACGTCACACAGCTCCTCCTACTGAACTTCGTTGATGCAGCCTATTCTGCGCTTTTACCAGAAATTTTTTTATTGTTTTACAATTGGTGATTCCACTGTGATAGCATCTATACAATTCGACTCAATGATATCACATACATTGCTTAAATCGGTGTTAAGAAACGATTATTAGCTTTCTTTCAAACTTAATTTATGGATTAACTCGTGCCCACGTAGGAGAACTCCTTAATAGACAAGACGCTCCTTATTACAAGACGTGCAAAACAAAGAATTCAAGAAAATATCAGAAATGCATGTATACTTAGTGATAAGGTATTATGTGACATAGAAACATAATATTCACAAATAGAACAAATGCTTTCGAATGCAACTGTTATATCAAGCAGCTTAAAAATGAACATAGCAATTGTGTGTACCAAGGTAATTTTCATAATACTATTCTTTAATATACATCTAATCCTGAATGATCCATACTCCACATGCGATTCAAAAGTTCTTTCTCGTATGCACACATTACTGACAAGCCATTAGTTTATTTTATATATAACAGTCTTTGGGCAATACATGTCAAAAGAAGCACACCACATTAAGCTGTAATATTTGACTAATCTAAACATATATTTGGCTTCAATATTAGCAAAATGAAAATTAATGCTTTTTAACTCTTTCACAAGTCACTCGAAACGCCCGTGCTTTCAGATATCAGCTGGTCATCCGAAAACATCCATCCTTTTTCTACCTGGGGCTTTCCCCCATAGCATTAGTATGACTCGTTGGTTTTGGGAGTTGTTAAATGACATGCCAGTCATTCTTTTAAACCGATTAAAAGCAGCTCTTTCATTTGAATATAGCTTTCTTTTCATATCTTCAACTTTTAGCTACCGATGCTAGGAGTTGCAATTCTGTCCTAAGGAGGAATGTGCAAACAGTGGGTGAAACCGCACAAGATCCCCAAGACAGAAATAATCGCTTCCCTTAAGCAGGTTATTGTTAACGCTGTACCATTCTCTTGGCATAGAGGAAGGGAATCCTTTCTAACAAAAATTCGTACATACGAGAGTTTCAGACGTTTGCGAGAAACAGATTTTGCCCTCTGCTGATGCGAAAGAGTTAAAGAATATATTCATCTTTAATTTCAATCATTCCTTCATTAAGTGCTTTTTTATTTTAAATTGAAAAATGCATTAAGCCTCATTTTTATAACACGTTAACTACAAATATCAGCTCAGTTTTGCAAAACATTTTCGTCATTGGCATGTCCATATTCCGAACCAAATTTTACAGTCACTGCACAGTGTTTTTCAGCGATGTAGCACTAAATGTTGGCTACCGCAACTTTGTTGGTATCGTCATAGCACAAGCATACAAGTCCGTTTGCCTTCATTTAACAGCTTTACTTCTGCTGCTTTCCAAATGGTCAGGTCTAAGCTCTTGCGGATAACGTCTTACGCCGTTCAAAACGACATTGTCATTCATTGGAGGACTTGTTTCCTTCTGTCTCTTTTCTTCATCCGACGAAGATTGGTGTCTCATAAATAACATTCGATCTATGTTAGCCAGCGGAGCTTCCAGCAACAGATAAAATGGTACAGCAACAGCATACGATATCGCTACATTTGCAATGAAGAGATACACCTAATAATATAAAAGATAAAGAAATATTACTTTACTTCGTACAATAAACATCATAAATGCAAATATGAGATGTACAGTTTCTATACTAGAAGTACTATTTTCTTATAGTATGCAGTTATCTCCAGCTGCCCGACCGGACGAAGTATTTAGCCAAAATATGCCAAAATTCTTGAAAAGGTTTTAACAAAGAATATTTTCCTGTCTATAGTTTCAAAATACCCCATCCAGTTAAATGCTATTAAAGCAATAATTGCACAAAAGAATCGCATATTGTTGCGTGCGTACGGGTTCGTTACGAAATGAATGCACAAGTCCGATGAAAAACGAACAAAATGTATTATTATCACAACAAAAACGCTTAAATCTCCTCGGATATTCATACAGTATTACAATATCTCACAGTAGTTATCTTTTAACTACTCAAACGTTCAAGAGAATTTAATTCAAAACGGCTAAAGAAAGCTAATCCGCGAATTCGCTACAGAGCAGTTTTCTAAACAAACTCCTAGAACAACAACAAACTAATTAAAATCATAGAATTGAGAGGTTTTCATCCTTTTTATAAGATTTTAAATCGCACGCGAGAATTTTCTGGAACTTTATCGAAATCAAAAACACATATTTATTTATTTATTAAATGTTAAATGCACGTAAGATAAGGTCGCATAAAGGAAGAAGAAACTGAAGATTAATATGAACAAGGATGTCTCGTGAGCATAAGATGAAAATTAATTATTATTATTTAGCTTCCGAATACGTTTTCAATAGTTGTTAAAATAGTTGTTATTAAAATAATTAAATTGTTGGCAATGTTAAAAACAGAAGCTCGAGAGCCACGTATTGCTCTCGCACGTAAAATGTATAGAATTTAATTTTAAGAAAGAGATTTAGGTTTTTCTGTTGTTGATGGTATGTAGCCATTTTTTTGGGCGTTCAATAAAATTTTCATGTGGTGTTCCGTCATTAGCGTTTTCATTGGAGTTCAACACCACAACGTTGATGCATTAACACTACACCACACACGTCCTCTTGTATTTTTAATTTTCCGGCTTAGCTTTCCTTTGCCACGCGCTGTACTTCACGGGGAATAAACAATTTAATTTATAATTCAACAAACATTAGCTATTTAAATACCAAATCGGTAACACTGTCCCCTTCCCAAGGACTGCACGTCCCGGGCAGTACAATCCCTGGACAGGAAGCCAAACTTACAACTAAGGCATAGATGCAATAATAAAAATTACACTACAATAACAACCAACATAAACAATAAATGCAATAACTAAAACACATCAAATGTTATCAAATAAATACAAATCAAATACTAAATACACATTTAGAAAAAAAACCATGGTCTTACACTATTTACAATTATTTACATTACGTACTATGGCCATAGTAATGAGCTAACCTGTCGTAATGAACGACTTTAGGTTTACAGTTCGAAGACTTACGGATCCGAACCACGACGCCATTCAGCCTGTTTAGGACTGTGTACGGACCATCCCAAGGTAACTGTAATTTCAGACAGAGTCCTTTCCGTCGAGTCGGATTCCACAACCACCCCTTGTCCCCTTCGTGGAATTGATGTTCAGTAGCTCTTGTGTCGTATCGGGTCTTCAATCTTCTCCGTCGTCAAGTTGACTCGCTCTCGTGCAAAGTTGTGCATCACTTCGAACCGGGCCTGGAGATCTTGAACGTATTCCTCAGGCGATGAAGGCGCAAGCGTAGGGCGACCGAACAGGCGGTCACAAGGCAGACGAAGGTGTCGACCGAAGAGCATCTGGGATGGAGAATGGCTGGTAGACTTGCGCTTCTTTTCGACCTTAGTATGATTTCGGCAGCTTCCTTGGATGGGTCTTTCGGACAAGGCGTCGGCATTTCCAGGAGAGGATCCCTTCTGAGGATGGATAGTCATATCTTCAAATGCTGAAAGCAGTTTACTGTTTTTGAAGTCTAAGGGAAAACTGTATTTCCTTAAAACGTCGAGTCCGAGTATGCATGGATCTGTAATACCCGCCACATATGCCGTGTGATGGTAGGCGGCACTTCCGAACGTGATGTTCACGTTTAACTTCCCGTCGATGTCGATCATCTCACCGGACACAGTCTGTAGGGTAATGCAGCGCGGTGTCCAGATAAGTTTGCTTTCCAGTTGTTGAGCCAAATCTTTTCGGATGATGGTAACGTTGGCTCCTGTATCTATAGTCATATTGCAGGGAACTCCATTAATATGTCCTATTATGAAAAGTCCATTACCACAGCCTCTCACTGCAGAAATCTGAAGCGCTTTAAACTGGGGCTTTTCATTATCTGGCAACCTCCGCCCCGCGAGATGGCCACTAATTAGTTTCCCTGCTGCTTCCTAGGAGCGGTTTTAACATCCGTGCCCTGGGGTGTTCTGCAGTTTCGCCGTATGTGTCCTTCAGCTCCACAGTTGCAACATTTTAAGGTCGGTTTCTTGTCATTGATATTTCTTCTCAAGGCATTGAGTTGTCTGTTTATATCGTCTAGACGAACAGTGACTTGATCCCTTGGCTCCTGGTCATGAGCAGCTCTGATTGGGTGCCGGTCTTTATGAGTTGCTTGTTGAGCTGCCTCGAATTTCATGGCGTACACTAGAGCGCGTTTTAGATCTTTAACATCCGCCATTTGTAGAGCCTTCTGTATTTCGGGATCCCGGATGCCATCGATAAAGTACTGCAGGGACAGTACCTCGTTTCTCTCGAGCACTCCGTAAAGGCGAGCTGGGACAGCCTTTCAACATCCGTGGCGAGTGATTCGGCGGGTCTCTGTTGACGGGATTTTAATTGAAGCCTGCTGTAGTCTTTTAAACACTTCTCGCCAAAGCGCAGCTCCAATGCGCCGGATAGAGCTTCGATGTGGTGTGGTGTATTTAATTATGGCAAAGCACACTAGGGCTATCTGCCTAATGGGAGGGATGCCTTCGTGGAGGACTTCCTAAGGGAAACTGGCTCGTATACACGTTACACACCCATGCAGCTAGCCCGTTCGCGGGATTCGAACCTCGGACCGAACTACCAGTGTTCAGCAACTTAACCGCTCGGCCGCTGGTGGGCGGATAGAGCTTCGAAGTCAAGTCTTTGGTTTTCTGGAAGCGTCTGCAGGATATCCGCTGCGTCTGCTCTCAGAGAAGCGGCGAGATGACAGGCCTTAGTTTGGGAATCCCAATCCATTTGCATCCGAAACGATAGAAAATTGTGTCTTATACACTTTCCAGGAAGTCTTCCCATCATATGTAGATAGTTTCAGAGAGGGATGAGCAGGCATTGGTAAAATTTTAAAACCACCCGAATTGCTCCCTGCGGTCGCTACGAATTTTTTAAAGTATCCACTTCTTTGGTAACCGTAGAAACCCGGTCATCAATTTGTTGTTCGATTTGTTTTTGAACGGAACAAACTCTTCCTTCTATTTCTTCTTTGACAGAAGAAACTTTTTCCTCAATTTGTCCCACTTTATTTTCAACCACATCTATTCTGTCTTCCATAGCATCAAATTTGGTTTCTATTACGCAGGTTTTCTCTTTTCATTTCGTCCCGACCTGCTTTCATCTCGTCTTTAATGGATTTCATCTCTTCCTTAACGGATTTTTGACCAGCATCCATTTTCTCTTTAACGGCTTCTTGTCACATTTTAATCTATTCTTTAAAGGATGCTTGGCTATCTTCCATCTTTTTCTGACCAGATTTCATCTCCTCTTTAATTTCTTCTTTAAAAGATGTTTGGCCAGCTTCCATCTTTACTTGGAACGCAGGAAAAGCACTGATGAGCTGCCTCAATTGTTCTTCCATCGCTCTTGTTACTGGCATTCAAATCCCACTTCTGACACCAAAAATTGTTGCGTGCGAACGGCACAAGTTTTCGAACGGTTGCGTGCGAAATGAATGCACAAGTCCGATGAAAAATGAACAAAATTTTATTATTATCACAACAAAAATGCTTAAATCTCCCCAGATATTCATACAGTATTACAATATCTCACAGTAGTTATCTTTTAACTACTCAAACGTTCAAAAGAACTTAATTCAAAACAGCTAAAGAAAGCTAATCCGCGAATTCGCTACAGTCAACAAGAGCAGTTTTCTAAACAAACTCTTAAAACAACAACAAACTAACTAAAATCATGGAATTGAGAGGTTTTCCTCCTTTTTATAAGATTTTAAATCGAAGCGAGAATTTTCTGGAACTTTCTCGAAATCAAAAACACATATTTATGTATTTATTAAATGTTAAATGCACGTGCTCTTGTATTTTTAATTTTCCGGCTTAGCTTTCCTTTGTCACGCGCTGCACTTCACGGCGAATAAACAATTTAATTTATAATTCAACTAACATTAGCTATTTAAATACCAAATTCGTAGTAATTTATATTTCGTTAGATTTTATGCCTTGAATTCTCGGTTCTCAAAGTAATACTTAGCGCACAATTCTAATCAGCTCTGGTCAGCATGTGAAATTTCAGTTCTACAACTCTGCGACAGCACAGTTCTAAACAAGTAGCACATAGAATTACAGTTCTACACCAGCTCTAGAGAGGTAGCATGCGGCATTACAGCTCTTAGATAGATAACATATGGAATTACAGCTCTAAAACAATTCAGCTCTATATAGGTAGCATGCAATACTGCAGCTCTGGAGAGATAGCATATGGAATCACAGCCCTACAATACTATAGATATGAATAGGTAGCACAGCTGTAGTACTGCTACCTATTCAGATCTATAGCAGTACTCTATAGTTGTAGTATTGCAGCTCTAGGTAACTAGCCTGCAGTACTACAGCTACGGAGAGGTAGTACGTGGAATTACAGCTCCACAGTACTACAGCTCTAGATAGATATCATGCAGCACTGCAGCTCTAGAGAGACAGCATAGTAAATTAAATCTCTAGATAGGCAGCTTGCAACACTGCAGCTCTACATAAATAGCATACAGCATTACTATTCTAGAGAGGTAGTACGGGAAATTATAGCTGTACAAAACTACAGCTCTAAACTATAGGTTTTGGGCTTCCCTGTTCCGAGAACTTTGCTCACTACAGGTCGACTCTGCCTTCGGGCACGTCGTGGAGGTTCAACCTCCACTATTGCCCTCCAGCAGAGCCGCGCACCACCTGGATACGACACCAGGCAGCACCGGTCGTCAATTGCTCCTGCCAGTCGCTCGGGCGAGCCCGTCGCGGTGGGACATTACCCAGCGACCCCGGGGGAAATCCCCACGGGTTACTAGCACCACGCCGCGCTAGGACGTGCCAGACTCCGAGGCCGGCCAATAAGTGACCTTGCCCAGAGCCTTCAGAACCACCAAGTTCATAAATTTTATACCCCCGTGGCCGAGACTGCCTAGGTACAGATCCTAGCCAGTAGCTTCGCAGAATTCTCTACGTCGACCCCCGGGGGGGAACAGCTCTAAACTGGTAGCATTCCACATTGCAGCTGTAGAGAGGTAGCATGTGGAATTACAGCTTTACAACATTCCAGGTCTAGATAGATAGCATGCGGCAGTACAACTTTAGACAGAATGCGCACCGAATTACACTCTAGATAGGTAGCATGCAACACTGCAACTCTAGACAAATAGCATGCGGTACTACAGCTGTAAAAAGTTAGCACGGATGACCTGGTCATCGTTAGTGAGGAAGAACACTAAGGTGCCCTTCGATCTCTTCAGGGAAGAATAAATCCTATTTTTTTTTCTTTTTGGGTATTCTGCTCTAATTATTTGAATTCATTTAATTAGCATGCTTATGCATTTACAAAAATAAGTTAGGAAAAATATTATAAGACGTTTATTTACGGCTTAACGGATTCGATTACTAGTAAATAATATACACATTTGGCTGTACATAAACGCTTTTCTAGCACCATTTAATATAATATTAAGCTGCTTATTTAAACGAATCGTTTAAAGTATTCTGTTCCCCATTAAGCTTAATTAAACAGCCGGCTCCCCATTTTATCTGTTTTTTTTTAAGGAACTGTTATTTAAGGTGTCTTAGCAAGCTGTTCATACCATAGTTGAAGAATATGAGCTTAAAATACGAAGACAAAATGCAGCAAAAATAGAAATAATGTTTCATTCTCAAAGTTTTAGCCAACTTCGCAGTAAATCATTTGTGTAGCCTTTAGTTACTAGCCTTAGAGTCAGATTTGAGTTTAATGTTACTTAATAGCTATATTGCCACAAGTGTTTGGCTGATTTGACTCAATGAAAAGGTTTGTTTTAAAACTTTCTTGAGATTCTATAGTTCTTTTCAGACGAAGCAATAATTCGCTCTAAATCTGCCAGGGTTTTGATATCATTTTATGCTACCAGAACCAATTAAACTCTATATACTGTGGCAGACACTAAAAGAAACATTCCTACAGTGTTTCCAGGAATACAAAGAACTTTGATGTAAATCTATGTTTTCCGATGTATGGTTCTGCAAACTAAAATAAATTTCGAAAAATTTCTGTACCTCTTAGTTAGTAAAATCAACAAGGAATTAGTTTATTATTCAATTTCGGGTAATCCTTCATATTTAGATACTTCGCTTATATGTTTTCTATGCTGTTTTCTATCATGTTTATTAAAGAACTTTGAAAAGATACCCATAATGATTAAATATTACATTCCTTCCAAACAAATTCTCATTCTATAACCATTGTGACGAAAAGCAACTTTTAAAAGCTAAATAAAAATAAGGATTTTCAAAGTTTACTTACACCTTCGTAATGCCACGAAGTCATTCTTTCTCGGAAAGATCCTAATTTTGTCCATATCACTAGCGGATGCACCAAATAAACCATAAATGTCAGTCTGCCGGGGGGAGCTAGCACCGCCGAAGATAGCAAGGAATTCACAGGACCTAAAGCGGCAAAAATATAAACGATGAAATTTAGCTCTTAGATAACAGCAACTCTATGAATGGCAACTGATTTGCCGACACATGTTTGCTATTTATGTAAATTTTAAAAGGAAATAAATATGTATACGATACGTGGACTGTTTGTAGAAATCTTCATTTCTCCTCTTTTATTTGCTAAAGAAGAAATATTCCTAAATCTACTGGAAGAAAAAACAACTGATGTTTCAGTTTATATTAAATAAAAAGATTGAAAAAGTTGGAAGAAATAACCTGGGAGTTCTAAAGGATGTACCTTGCTTGTCTGGATAACTTTCGAACAGCTAAGTGGAAACAACTAACTGAGATCATTATTGTAATTTAGTAAATTTAGAATATTTTTCAGGTACTGTTTAGCTTATAAGCGGCCACGGTAATAAGATAACTGAATACTGACTCATGAACTAGGGTTCTAATCCGATGGATGATCTGGCTCATTAAGAGTTTTCGTGTCTTTTTCCCTGTGTAACTTAAATACGGTGCAGGTTTATTAGGAAGTTCTTTAAGAATGTCATCTTTTGGGCAAATAGCCCTCGTGTGCTTTATTGTATTTACATGAAACAAATAAAACAAAATAAAAATCTCTCGTTAATTCATAATTTAAAACAAAAAGTAAAAATGTAGACAGCATGGTAGAAGAATCTCAATCATGTATTCAGTTGCTTCAAAACGTTTAATGGCAAATAAACTCATATTATGCTAATATGTACAGGTATCTAATGCAAAATAGTTACTCAGCCATGAGCCGTTGGAAAAGCCTTGGGATATGGTGTGGCCCTCTGTCTTAGAGAGGAGGATCTACACATGCCCAAGATTTAAAGCCAAAAGAATTGGCAAGCTAGTCTAATTTTCTGACAACACAATATATCATCAAGGCTCTTAAAAGCACAGTGTGTGCAACGAAAAAAACGCTCACGCAGTCAACAGTTTCTTCAACCGAGGATAATACTACCATTGTATATCATATTTTATTTTCTCGGCTGCCATAGAGCCCAAAACATTCGTGCTAGAAAAATAAGTAGCAAAAGCTAAACGAATAGGTAAAATAGAAATATAGGAATAGGTAGAAATGAGAATTAAAACATACGTTTCGCACATGAGGTAGAAGTCGCGTAGCCGAATCCAAATAGGGAACGAAAATTAGCTTAAAACGCAATTCCGCAGTCACACCACAACGCCTTATAAAGAGGCATGCGTCAGTTCGCAGGCAGAGATAGTTCCGTGTAATCGGAGATAGCCAAAGTGGAAAGCATCTTAATTTGCACGATGAAATGCGCTAGAGGACTGTTGGGATGATTCATGCTCGTGCAAGACAATCCGCTGTTACGAGAAAGCTGAATGTGCATCGTAATGTCATCAATAGGCTGTGGAATCGTTATCAAAGGGATCCAAACTTCTACAGAAGAAGTGGGTATGGATTCCGGAGGTTTACTACAACGGCAGACGATGGTTTCCTCTTTCCATGTGCAAGACACCATAGATCATTAACAGTAATATAGCTGACTTCGCATACCTCTGCTGCCGCAGGACGATCCCCATCCCACCAAACTGTGTTGCGTCCACTGCATGAAGGTGGACTGTACGCGCGAACATCTGTGGGTAGTGTTCCTTTGGCCATGGCATGTCAGAGCGCTGCTGAATTGGGCCCATGAACTTTGCAGTTGGAAACTAGAGCAGTGGGGCCCCATACTCTTTAGAGATGGATCTCGATTTACCATCCAGAACAATTCCTGAACAGCAGTGATATGATGAGGTCCAGGGACACGTTATCGGTCGGCAAACATCGTCGAAAGAGACCATTAGGCAGAGGAGGCGGCCTATTTAGGTGGGCTGGGATGACAACTGCAGTACCGACCTCTGCATAATTCCTGGTGGGATGTCAGCCGAAAATGTCGCGGCAAAAACATCGTGGACGAAAGATGGAAACTTAAGCATTTAAAAATTGAAAATAAGTAGAAAATTACTGCAACTTAAAAAGCTTAATATAATTTAAAATTTATATAGTTAAATTAAAATCATTAATAAATTAAACTTTTTTTATAAAGTTTGATAATTTTTCATAAAAAATGCTATCTAAACATGCTTAGAAAAAGGAAGATAAGTAACTGCATGATGTTGTTTCTATAGAAATTGCTGAGTTAATCATCAAATTATTTTCTTTCACATTTTTTAATCTGATATTGTTTTAATGAAAATCACATATTTTTTTGTTTTCGCCTATTCTTAAAGTGTCGTTCACATTTTCATGTATAGCGTGCAATCAACTTTTTGAATGTCAATTATATAATATGTCTCGAATGCGATTTGAAAAACGTATGTATGCGATGTTATTGTCATGCGATGAATTTGTAGGTACTTTATTTTTACCACGATTATTTTCGACGACGATTATTTTAAATTGCAAAATTTTTGAACCGCTTTATTTTCGACCATGACATTTTGTACCACGATATTTTAGAACTACGATGTTTTCTCTTTGCGATGTTTTCTCCCACGATGTTTTGTACCGCGACGTTTTCTCCTTGCATTGTTTCCTCCGCGTCGTTTTCGTCCCCGATGTTTTCGGCTGTAACCCCTAATGGTTCCGTTACAGCCGACGAAATTCTTCTTCTAGTGCGCCTTTTTATCGCTACAATGTGAGCCGATGCGATATTTATCGGCGCTAACGTCCGCCCGCATAAAGCTGGAGTTATTCCATTCCACATCTGCCGTCGCCTGCTACATCACCGGACCTGAATCCCAAACAGCATGTGTGGAACATGTTGGGAAGACAGATAGCGTGCCACCAGGTATCTTATACAACATACATAACTACAGGCTCCAACATACATTACTACAGGAATGGCCGCAACAAGAGATCAAAGACACAATTGTCAGCTTGCCGTTGCCAAGCATGCATTTCAGCTCGAGAGTATCATACTCTTTATTAGCGTGATGCTTCCGACCCATTTGGTCTTTCACGATGTGATGGTCATAATACAAGTGTATTTTTAATACATGTGTCTCGTAATGCCACACCAACCTCTTGGATCAATTTCCCGCATATATTACATATGTTCAATTCAAATTAGAAAACATCAGTTTTCGGTAATGTATTGAAGAGTCAGCATAACTTAAATAAATAATTCCACTAGCCAATTAACCGTTTATAAATCATTTTTGAAATGTAAAGAAAGATTTTTATTACCTCCATAACCCTTAATACAGGCATAAACCACCCATCCAACTCCAAGAATGAAGACTGATCGATGCATCGCTGCATAGAAGATAGCAAGACTTCTAGACTTTTCCGCTCCAGTGGTAAATCTGTGGTTACCAAGTACAGTAGTCAAGCATAGTATAATTGACATCAACCAACCGGCGATGACGAACGGCTATAAAAGACAAAAGTTGTGTTTTCAAATAAAATTTGTTTCAGTAAAATATTTTGCTTAAAATATAAGTCATACGAACGAAGGGTTTCTAAGAAAATTTAATTCGACCTGCTTGTTTTTGCGTGAAGTTGCATTATTCACGTTTGATAAGACTAAGACAAATCTAACGATAACACATATCGGATTATTTTTTCCGGATACTACGAGACAATAATTATCTCGGTATAATTATTGTGTAAGGTATTTTCTCCCTCCTTTCTGCATGCCGTCGTAGTGTAACTGGAAGCACGTTCGACGCGTGTTCGAAAGATCCGGAGGCCAAATCCCGGCGAGAGCCTTGCGGATTTCTTCCCATTCCTGACTTCGAAAAATTCTAAATGATTCTACAGTTCTTCCTCAACACTTGGAATTAATGACCTCTGGGAATACCAAGTAAAGCTATACTTTAAATACAGTCAAGTTCTTCATAGGTTTGTCAACTGGGACATAGGATATGACAATAAAAGCAGCAAATGAAAGTTTTAATATTAAGTAGACAAGAAAGTTGCAAACTTCGAGGGATTTTCCAGAGCGTTTAACTGATGGAGTGTCACCAAAGAAGTGCCGAATGACTGCTGGATTGATCGAGTGACTGATTCGTTTTATTTGATTTCCTATAAAAAGTAAATTACCATATATTTCGACGTGTAACGCGCACCTGTAATTTCAAATTGCATTTTTTAATACGTAGATTTATATATAGCATGTTTCTAACATAAGAAATGTGATACAGGGTCGGACTTTTTCTGAAATAACATACCGATGAAATAACATACCGATATAGTTATCTATAAATATTAAATTTTGTCAAATTTGGTCAAAAACTTACCGAGCAATTTAAAACTTTATCTTAGCGCAATTTTTTCAGTTTGCGCCAAGAATAATTCACTTGGCGAAATTCTTAATTTATGGTAAACTATTTTCTTTCGCCTTTCAGTGTGCACGAGCGGAAAAGAAGGTTCATCATTCCTTGTTTCAAGTAATTTTAACAAAGTGCTTAAGCCCTATTTGACATTATTATCTCTTATTACAAATATGCAAATTTTAAAAGGCGTCAGTATATAAATTTACGTATATCTTGGAAAATTTTGAACAATAAACTCATGTTTTTTGGCAGGTATACCTAGAAACATATCTACTTTAAGTTGATCACAAAAACGTTAGAATTTATTGTTAAAATGTTTTTTGAAATAATTGTAAAAATTTCTAAAAAATACAAACTCTGGAAACAAATAAGAAAAGATGTGCGAATTTTGTTTGGATTGAACATAAATTTTGAATTTTGGGAGTATGAATCAAGTAAGTTTAATTGAAAAAGAGACATTAATAAATATGTATACTAAATTCAGTTAACACTGAGGAGGTAAAATATTGAAATTATTTTTATTTGAATATTATTTTTGAAAACTACTCTTTCGATTTTTACAAAACTTGGCCTACTTTGAGTCTTAAAATTGACATATGAAAAAAAAAAAAAAAAAAAAAAAAAAAAAAACCTGTTTGTCATTTCAAAAAAAATCCGATTTGGGGTCAATATCTATGTCTATGTTTGAATAATCCTATATATGCGACTGTAAGGTTAAAGTTCTCAGCCTGACAATGAAAGACAGTTGAAAAATGATTTTATAATTCTTCTTAATCTCCCTTGACTTCAGTACATTTGATCCAACGTTTCCCCAACATGAGTATTCCTTCCCGGAAGTGAGTCTGGAAGATTGTGAAAAATATTCAACTACGATCCTCTCAACTTTTTCAGTGGATGCGAAACACTTCCCAGAAACCAATTTCTTTAATTTTGGGAACAGATGGAAGTCTGAGGGTGCCAAATCAGGTGAATAGGGGGATGGCAAATCGTACCCCAAATCCCGCATTTTTCCCATCGCCAACGCAACCTTACACAGATGCGTTGTCTAGGTGAAAGATCATTTTTTTTCCTCTTCAAGCCAGGCCTCTTCTAGCGAATTTTGTCCTCCAGCTGGTCAGGAAAGTTAGAGTAATACTCGCTTGTGAATTTTCTGCCTTTTGCAAGGTAATCAATTAACAGGAGCCCTTTCTCATCCCAAAACACATTGACCATGACCTTTCCAGTAGATATGATCGACTTCGCTTTCTTTGACGCTGAACCACCGGCTTCCACGCACTGTTTGGACTGCTGTATCGTTTCTGGCGTGTAGTGCTGGACCCATGTCTCAACCACAATGAAAAATCACCACACAAAATAGGTCGGGTCCCTGCTGACTGGGTCCGAAAATCGCTATGAAAATTGCTTGCTCATTTGCTTTTGTTCGGCATTCAGCAAATGCGGCACTCATCTTGCGCAGAGCTTTCGCACCCCTAATTCTTTTGTGCAAGATGTTTCGCACCTTTTTCTTCCGATACCCCACAGAATCTTTCACCCTCACCTATCTACTACCTATCTACTCTACATCTATCTCACTCACCTTCACTCGTCTATCGTCCAACACGACAGATTGCACGTTTTCGATGATTTCTTGTGTGGTTGCGGTTTTTGACCGTCCTTCACGTATGTCTTTTTCGAGGCATGTGCGACCACATTTAAATTCAGCTGCCCACGTTTTAACGGTCGGCATGGAAGGAGCAGAGTCCCCGTAAACTTTTCTCAGCTTCAGATGAATTTCCATAGGGATTGATCCATCCAAAACGTAGAATTTTATGACCGCACGATATTCAAGTTTATCCATTTTAATGAATAACACGCAAGACGTCGACTGCGAAAATTCATATAAACAAACCACTTAAAAGAAATAGTTGAAACTGATCATACGAACTAATGATAAGTGCACCCAGGGAGGAAACATAAATATTATGTAAGATAAAATAAATACATGTAAATCAGCTTTATAACTTAATTTATTAATAGCTTCTTAATTCCTTATTTTTTATTTGGATATTTCGTTTCTCTATTCTAAAAATAATGACTTTTCTGAACCGTGGCATTTCCGGATTAATCTACATCACATGACTTGCGTAACGCTGATGACGTAGCTTATTCGAAACTTGAACGCTTGAAAACTGACACCTTTCTAGCCTAAACCAAAACCTTCTTTTAGTCAGCTTCCATATTGGATAATTGCGTACTTTTAGCTTGAACCTTTGTGCTGCTTAGTTAATTCCTGTGCTGTCTTACTATCGCAATAATATCAAAAATGTAAATGTTCTTAAATAGGCACGATTAGAGCACGATATTTTTAGAACTGCGATATTTCCTCTTTGCTTTATTTTCTTCTACGATGTTTTGTACCACGACGGTTTTGCCTTGCGTTGGTTTCTTCGCGAAGTTTTCGTCCGCGATGTTTTTAACCGGATACTTTCGGCGGACCCCCTCTCGGTGGATGTTTCTACCTTCCCATATCTTCTATCATGTCTATCACCTTTTGCCAAATTACCTGAGGGTCTAATATACCATCAGCATGCTTACTCTATTGTTGCAACAGACGCCCCATAGTGTGGATCTTTCATTGTGGGAAAGAGATCATAGCCACACGAATTCGTATCCGACCGGTACAGTGGATGTTATAATACCTTCTACTGGCATCGTCGCAGGAATTCCGTGACAATGCTCGCATTATGATACCGCGGACCGAGGATGACAGATTTCGTTCCCAACAAGTGTCATCGCTTTCTTCTAAATACAGAACGTAGATGATGTCTCAAGTCACGAATCCTACGATTCTTCGTAAAAATAGCACTTTCATGGATCTCTGGAATGCTAACCATGCGAGGCACTGAATTTCCAGCCGTACTAGCACAATATGAGTCTGTGTGTCTATGATCTCTTAGCCGAAACTAAAGAACCCCTGCGAGTCAGCTATTGCAGTAGAGTGGGGATTATCTGTGCTTTTAGCGCGGTTCGAGCTGAGCATCAACTGAAGTGGATATATTGATGCTATACTATGCCTTCCAATAATTTGAACAGTGGTAGGTGATTACATTGAATACTGTATTTGCAATTACGGTAGCCATATCTTCTCAAAATTATTAACTGTTGCCACTACATGGTGCCCAACACTTGACAAAAACTTGAGAATGTAATTTTAGACGTTTATTTTGTAGTAATGTGTTACTTATCGAACGCTCTTCCTAAAATTCGCATTAGAAGTCGATCCAGTATTTGTGTAACTGAATAACAAACAGGTAAAATAAATTCACAGGCAACCTTTCACTTACCGTATATACCCGCGTATAAGTCGAGATATTTTGGACAAAAAAAAGACTTCAAAGTGGGGGGTCGACTTATACGAGGGGCCATAAAAAATTAAAAGAATCGGAAGTTCAAAAATTTCTTTATATAATGCAGTTGTTTTCTTCCCGCACTCAAATTGGACGACTTATCAAATAAGTCACTTACTTGAAGTAATTTCATGACTTACATTATGTAACAACACAGAGTTCGAGACTGAAAATATGTATGATGACGAGCCAATGACGACAGAAGAGTTCTATGAAATGTTTGGCGAATCTGACCATGAATCGGACGTTGAAGGATTTTGATTTTGTTTATTTACCAAGGTATTTTTTATCGTATATTTACTTTTTTTTCTCAGATGATTTTGAATAAATGTAGTACTTAAAAAACATTTTTCGAAGTTTCTCGATCGATTTCGGAAGTGGGGGGTCGACTTATACGCGGGTTTCTTTTTTCTAAGAATTTTTTATGTCGAAGTGGGGGGTCGACTTATACGCGAGTATATAGGGTACTTGTAATTTAAATTTAATAGTATGAAATTAAATAACCTTTACTTTCAGACTAATTGTAAGAACTAAAATTTTTATTTAGACTGATCAACAAATGCAAATGATAATCTGACATATAGATTTTATAATTTATATTCATATAATATTGTTACAAAAGGCCCAGCTGCGGTAAGATAGCTTACCAACAAAGAGGGGTTAGGCTTGCCGGATTTGGCGCGAAATCGTCCAATTGTTAACGAAACTGGCGATATGCCATAGATGGAGCGTGAATATTCTAGAACGAATTGTTACCGGTTTTCCCGAGAATGTTCTCGAAGATAGGTCAAAAGCTATAAATACCCCGCCAGCACGCGGAGTAGCAATTTATCCTGAAGAGCATCTTGAAAAGTGTGGTATTAGTGACTTGAGTTCAGAGATTAGCTTGAGAGCGATCGACCGAGTCGGAAGCTGTATTTCAGTGCTTTTTCACGTGAAGCTGTCTTCACCATTATAGGCTGATAGCCTGAAGCCTTTTCTGACGTCATCTTCGATGATAGCCGACGCTGATAGCCTTTCTCGACGACTGTAAACATGCCTTTGGGACTGTCCTGAGTAATACTGGTTAATCAATTGTGTTTTGATGGTTCGTTAACTGTTGCCATCAGTCTCTCCAAATCTACAAACCCGTAGAGTACAACAATATATAATTAGGCTTCAGATTTCAGAAATGCATACCGTTTTATAAATATTTATTAGATAAACGCTTCTGAATGTATTTCTCTAAAGTATCTAATTGCGCAACAGTTAGGAACAGAAATATCTCCTGAACTAAAACAGAAATAATAATTAAAATAATATAAGAGATTGTACTTACCTTACTGAGCTTCTGATCCTTATATTTATAAATGAAATAACCGAAAACCATTCCAATACAGTGGGGACCCAAATGCGTAAATGTTTGCACATGGATATTGTTCACCACTTCCAACACTTTCCTGAGATAAAAATTCAGTTTAAGAAAAAGTACGAAGAAGGGTGAAAAAAGTGCACTGAAACATTTACTGAAATGTTAAATTTGTTAAAAACATAATACATATTGCCTATTATGTACTTCTTGAAGCAAAATACAGCTTCTTGAAAAGGAATTCGCTGAGAATTAGAAATTTTTGGAGAATTTTTCTTGCGGATATATTAACACGAGAAAATGCGTTCCAAACTGTTAATTTTTAATTTTTTTTTAAATTTCAGCCTGGAAACTTCAGATAAAAGTCTCAAAGGGTTTACAGTTAAAGTTTCAAATCGTTTAAAAGAATATTAAAAAATATAAAACTCTTAAGTTTAGAAAGAATTTGCAACACGAATAAACAATTTTAAACAAAGTATTTGCAATAGGCCTTTTTAGTTTAAGTATTAGTCCGTGTACATACTAAAGATATAAAATGAAAAATCTTAAATTTGAAATAAATTATTCAAAACAGCAAAAGGACAAAATGCTATTAAAAAGTGTTATATTATTGCGACGGAAAAAAATGCTATGAAAAAGTGTTATATTATTGCAACGTGGAGAGTCATCGACCTATTCAAGAAACGAAACGACTTAATTATACAAACCATTGCTGATTAGTTATTTCACTGTACCTCTAGCACAGAAAGCTTGCATAAAATATTTCTTTTATGTGGCAATAATTTCTATTTTGCCACAAAGTGTCATTCGTGAACTAAACCAATAAGCACCTGAAAGAGATTTCTCTCTAGGTTTTTCATGTTAACAGTTTTTTCTCGTGTGAAGAACTAAATGAACTACCTAATGTGAAGAACTACCTAATGTCTCTACAAGGTTAGTGTATAAAAATTAGTTTGAAAAGGAATCAAATATAGCCTCAAACTGGTTTCCGTTTTAGAGAGCCCACCAGTAGTTGAGCGGTAAAGTCACTGAACATTGATAGTTCCGAGCTAGGTTCGATTCTAGGCGAACATTCTGGCCGCATGAGCGTTTTCGTGGTTTTAACATGTGCAACATATATACGAGCTAGGTTCCCTTAGAAAGTCCTACATGAAGGCATCCCTTCCCTAAGGCCAATAACCTTTGCGTGTTTTGTCATAATTCAATCCATCAACCAACCGTTTCATAGAAATATTTCATATATTTAATAATACAACGAAACCTTTCCATCAAAAGCACAATTACTCTGCGCCATTCTTTGAAATTCTAATTTTCTGACATCAACATGAAAATTATCATACTATTTCTAACACCTCAAATAATTCTCAGATATGTTAGCATACATATAAAATCACGAGAAAATTTTCTGCTGTCCAAAATGTATAAATAAAAGGAGACTCTAACCTTGGGAGCTTATGGCTTTGAGCCTTGGGAGCAAGATGGCTGTCAAGAGAAGCTTGATGAGAAAGAGACTCACATGATTCGAATCGACGAATGAGAAATAGACAGGACTTTTGGACAAAAAGACCAGGTTTATAAATAAAACTCAGGCAGCTCGTAATTAGACAGGCCTAGATTTTAAATAAAGCTCTAGAAATTGGGGGGGGGAATGAAATACAAGCACACTTCTTCAGAAGCAAAAAAAAAAAAAATCGCGAAGCTGTGAAATGCTACAGCCATATTTGTACTAAAATCAAAGAGAAAAATAAAGGGAAAGTGAGCACAGCACCATCTGTTGATGAAAGCATTAACAAATGCCTTGAGAATAATTAAACTGAAGTAAAAAAAAAAAAAAAAAAAAAAAAAGATGACTATGAAGAGACATTAGGATTTTCGGGTTTGCAGGACAGATGAGCAAGGAGCACTCGAACCATGGACCTCTCGAATACGCGTCGAGCGTGCCGACCACTACACCACGAAGGCATGCTAAGAAGGCGGGAGAAATACCTTATGTACTTCGCTTTTTAAAGGGCGAAGGGGGAATAGGGTACCCAATCGCTAAATCCTGGTAATGGAGAATCCTCAAACACAACCTTTTTTTAATTCGGGCTCCACTGTAGAGACATTCGGATATTTTGGTTTGCAGAATAGATGCAAATTGAACAATGCCCCTGCCGGAACTCGAAACACGGCCCTCTTGGATACGCGTCGAGCGTGCTGACCACTACACCACGAAGACATGCTAAAAAGCCAAGAGAAATAGCTTATAACTACTATAAAGAAGAATTTAAAAAATTTTTGAAGACAAATTTAAAGGAAATTATCTAAATAAAGCCGAAATTTTAGAATCTTAAATGTGTTGGGATGAACTGGAATTGGGAAACATTTAGAGATAAATTTAAAGACAAAGAACTAAAGAAAGTTAATTTACCTCTTTAATTAATGACATTAACTGCCTCTGAATTAAACGGAACAATATAGAATTCTCAAAAATAAATGCACACTAATAAATCTAAAATAATAATACCAAGGATCGAAATAAAGAAGTGGGCAGAGAGATATGTATTAAATTCCTTCGAAATGTGAAACAAGTTGTATTTTTCTAAAAGAAATGCAGATTTTCGCGTCCTAAGGATATAATAGTAAATTTGTAGTTTTTTTAATAATAATCAGTAACTTGTTGACAAATTAATTTAATATCTTTACTTTCGAAACATGCCTTGAATTTTAAGAGGAAATATAGCCAAGTTTTTAAGATACAAAAACCTCTCGTTGCGACCACTTCCCTAAGACAATCACACTGAAAATGACCAGTATATCGAAAGACATAAATTTATATCAATATTGAACATTCTTCAAGAAAAATACTAACATAAAAGGTTAAAACTGTTTGGCCCCTTGGACGGTCATCCTAGAAATACAATTAAATTACAAAATAATCCAATTACAAAATGAAAATATCTTTAAAATATATAGACTGAAACTTACGCGTCGTCACTAGTTGCTAAAGAAATTGTCGGAGTCAAATTCAACAGCATTGTTTGAATTCCAACCGTTGCGCATGAAATAGCCACAGACACAACAAGTATTGAAAGTCCAAACGTTGCATACCTAAATAAACGGGAAAAACTTTACAATGAAAATATTTTTCTAAACTTTTGAATAAATATAGCAATCGGTTAAATAATTAATAGATTGATTTTTCCACATCATTGTATTTCAGTAATTGTAAATCATTGTTGCAAAAATTTTTACTGTACAGATACTTACAGTAAGGCAGAGGCTTCTCACACATTTTTAGACGATTTTGGTTTGCTATAAAAAATCATTTGCTTGGAAATATTTTAATTGAAACTATATTTTTGAAAGTATAAATTATCGTATCCAGTTATGTGAAACTCTGTGAAAGCCATGGTTTTTGATACCTAAAGCTAAGACAGTTAATATTGTCAAAAAAAAACGAACAAAAGTCAAAGCTTGGTTTTAAGTGTAAATATTGTTCCAAATGCGTATCCAAGGAAAAAACGAATGCTTCGAATGTTTCAAAGGTAAGATCTTTCATGTTAAAAAAAAATCTGCAACAATAACTCACATTCGATCGATTAAAACTTTCTGAAAATATCGATTGTATATCGACTAAAACTTTCTAAATATATATATTTTAAGTTTCAGTAATAAGAGTAGGAAATTACATACTTGAATAAAATTATAAGCAAAATAAGAGAGAGTATGTGCAGTTGGAAATCAGCCGCCAAGTACCAAGTTGTTAAGATACACTGTAAATAAATATATTTAATTAGTATGACACATTTCATAAAGCAGAAAATATCATTAGAAAAAAATGCATTTGAATTTAAATAAAATTCAGTATACTATATATGTATTCGATACTATGTTTAAATAACTGTGATACGATTCAAGAACAGGTTTTGAATGCCAAATTTCATCCGCTGTTATATCGGAGCATACGAGTAAGAGAAATAACAAGCAATTTTCCTAAAATCGTGTTCTCAAAAAACAAAAAAAACCAAAAAAAATTTCGATAGATAAATTCCGGTGCGCAACATAAAACTCCGATATTCAAAACTGTTCCCTGTACTTGCTAAACCAATCAAGAAGCAAGGCAGAAGACAACGGAGATTTGGTGCTCGACTCGAAATGTCCATTAAAAATAGTAATCTAGCTACGTAAGAAGGAGTCCGAAATTTATTCCTTTTGATATGCCTTTTGCAGAAATGAACATGACATTTGCAGAAATGAACATAAGTCATGACAGAAAACTTATTCGTTTACTGAAGAATTTCGCAAGTTGAATATTTCTCGTCGAAATTACAAAACTTCCTTTACTTGGTAAAAGGAAGTAAAATACATTCGTTTGCGGAATCAAAGGTCAAATGTATAATTTTGTACAATTCTGTTTCATATACTTCCGCTCGTTAGAATCAAAAACTTAAACTTGTCAGGATTTATTTACTGATTTTAACTAATAGTTAATTTTTAGTTAAAATTACTTTCCTATCGCTCTCCTTTTGCCCCACGCTTTTCATGCCAGATTGTAAATTAGACTGTGCGCGTTTAGGGAAAAAGACGTTGTACTTAAGAGAAGGTTTCGCAAATTGATTTTAGAGCCTGTTCTGCCTGTTTGAGGCTATGTTGTTACCTTGACTTATTAGCGCTTTGATTCTGTGGCGTTGAGTGCTTCCAGCCATCGAGCTTGTCACGCCGGCTTCTACGAGCCAGAGACTTTCTACGAGTTTACATTATCTTCTAAGTCGTTAGGTTAGTCAAAAAGCATTTTAATTTAGGTTCAACAGTATTTGTTTTTGGTTAACCCAGAAGTGTTGGCTTGTGCAAACCTAAGTGGGGTCGACTGCAAATTCTTTGTGATCGAATAAAAGATATATTTACATGAAACTCTGCTGTTTTGCAACGTAACAGAGCAGTTTTGTAGGGCAATCAATATTTCGTTTATGCAATGCATGTTAGTGTGCAGGCAAGCCTCCACATTTATTCAACATCAAGTCTGTTCATTGCGACCGCTCAATGACAGAGCGAAATTGACTACAACCGGTTTTACTTCCTTCTGCTGCTGGACTCCGAAGGTGTAGGGCGGCTTCTTTCCGTTCTCACCGCGGATGACGCGTGTCTGCAATTTTTGTTCTTTTTCGTTCCTTTCTGACGGCCATCTCCATAAAGTTTGAAGAGAATGCATTTCGCCTAGAAAATAGAAATTGGTACTGAAGATTCAACTAAATTATCTAGATGCTGACTTCTGCAGTAAATTAATGATGCTCTACGACTTAAAATATCCTCGAAAGGACTTCATGTGCACGTGTTACACCTTCCTGATGGTGCGGAAATTCGCCTCTTCAAAAATATATTGGAATAACCAGTCAACTCAATTTCTTCGGTTATAAAATTTGATTTTTGTTATCATGAAACTTTGCTTAACGAAGATGAACTGAGATTTACTTTGATTGGAATATTACGCATTTCTTGTACGAAAGGTTAGAATTCAAAATGGTAGGACTGATACTTACTGCAGATCACAGTCAATTATCTCATGTCTGGCGATTTTTCTTGATTTATGCTGGTATTAATTTAAAATTTCACGATGTCAAGATATAATAAATTTCTCTTAATTCACATTATTTGAAGTGTCATCCTGTGGGGGTAAGTTACTTTAATTTTATATTCTTTTATAGATCACACATTCCATCATTACATTCGACACAACATCATATATTTTTATTACAGTTAGTTCATTTATTGCAAAGCAAAGAATTAGAAAACGTATCCAAGTCCAAATGACATTGACTCAAACCTCAATTATCTATAACAGCTAAACCTATGTGCAAGATCGAGAAGTTTACTTACCCCTTTATCGATGCCCCACCAATTCGAAAAATAAAGCAATGTGGTCCACCAGTATTTTCTACAGGACTCAACTTGAGGATCTACCGTTCGGTACCAAAATGGTCCGGAACTGAGCAGAGGCAGGAAGAAGACCACGCCCATCATCAGAAGAAGTGGTGGCGTTAATCTGAGAATAAGAATTACAATTTTCAATCTATTAGTTAACTGAAACCGTGATTATCTGAATTTAAAGCATATAAGTAATAAAAGTAAGGGAAAAAAGGGCACATTTTAATTTCTCCTAAAATTACGCGAAAACGTATTATGTGCGGATACCGAGTTCGTGCTTGTGCGCCGCCAATGTGAAAATAGCGCATTATCTTGGCCGAAAAATTGTTCGCAGTAAGTTTGAGGATGCTCTCCAAAATCACCAATGAGTTCGCGACTTTTGTTTTCAGTATGAGTGCAGATAATCGGAAACCAAATGGAAAAAAAAAAAAAAAAAAAAAAAAAAAAGAAGAAGAAAAAAAAAAAGAAACTTAAAATTAAACTTTTCTGTCAGAAGACAACAACTGATCATAACTTTAATTAGTTTCAATTAAATTTAACACAAATATTCAATGTTTTTGACGATTGTTTTCTGAACACGATTGAACACGTTTCATTTGAAGAGTGGTTTTGAAACTTTGTCGGCTGGGAAAAAAACTCAAATTATTATTGTCTTTTGTAAAACCCGTAGAATGCCTAAAGCTTTACTTAGCCCAAAGGAGCGTTAGTCCAGCTATTAATCTCGAAACGGCATTTTGCATCTGTTCACTATGAACGGCGTATAACTTTTTAAATTGTCGCCATCAAATAGTATCACCCTGTATTACATTTAAAGAAATTAAATAATGAAGAATCTGCATGAATGTATGCAATTTCCTCGCATTCTGAAAAAACGACGGTACCTAGAGTTATCCGATTTTAAATAACGTATTCCTCCTCTGAACATGGGTACCTGGAAGCTCGAATTTAAAATTTCGAATTTCTTTTTTTACCTATTTCCTATTTTGTAGAACTTTAAAGAATTTTTGATTAACAAACTCAACGATTTCAAAGCAGCAATTCCTCGCGTAACATTTAAATACCTTTATTAAAAGCTGTTTTACGTTAGTATATTTGAACATTGCAAAATACGTAACAGCTGCCTGTCTAAAGGAAGGAATGCCTTCATGGATGACTTTATAAAGGAAACTGACTAATATTCACGGTACACATGGGGGAAAAGGCATAAAATCCAATTACGCAGCTGGTTCAATCGCCTGGGTTCGAACACGGGTGGACTACCAGTATTCAACAGACTTTAACCGCTCTAACACTGGGGGGGGGAGGAAAGGCGTCTAAAAATTTCAAAACTTATTTCTAAAGATTGCATGATTTTCGTATTCATTTTTTATCCTCTAAAAATTGCAATAGCGATATCTTTATATTTTTCTCCTTCATACATTCGTACATTTTAGCAGCGAAATGTATTGTTTATTGTACGAGGAATTGTGAGACTACATCCAATATTATAATATATATTATATCCAATATTATATATTATATACATATTTTCACACTATGCTTTGGCTATGTTTCAACCATCCCATTTATTTTTTTCCATTTATTTATTCTATTTATTTATTTAATCATTCCATTTTATTTTATTACTAAGCTGTTATGTTTTGTCCCAGGCATTTCAATATAGCGGTCAGTCTAAGTTGCCTGCTGCTTTTCATAAGACCCTCGTTCACATCTGTATGAATAGTGCTTCATTATCTAGTTTCTGAGTATTCGATTTGATGTATTCAATTCACGGAATCTTATTCACTGATATCCTGTTGCTGTCCAATTAACATTATATTATTAGTGACCCCACCTCCTCCAAAAATAACTGTCAGACCTCATACATTTTTACCTAAGTACAAATTTAGTCCAGGGGTTTGGAATCAATGCAAAAACAGATCACATACCGCTTAGCCCAAACTGCGTTTTTATTTTTGCCAATTTCAATTAGATTATAAATATCGTAATTGAAATTGGCCTTGAGATGTTGAGTTCTTTTTTAAATCTCTGCAAATTCTCTGACAGAGTGATGAGTGGTACTAATACAGGGCCGCTGTAGAGACGGCTCAATTGGTGGAGCTACAACGGGCCGCAGAATTTAAGGAAGGTAAAATGTTTAGAATTTAGAAGGACATTTCGGCAATGGAGTTTAGAAGCCGCTGAGATTGCATCAAGCGGCAAAAATGCCTAGCGCTAGTCTTTTCACTAACAGCTGCACATTAAATTCCTCGTGAATGACTCTAGCGTTTTCCCAAACTTCCAAAATTCAAAGACATTTTTCTCCAGAGAATTCACATCCTAACGTGTACAAAAAAGTGAAGTTAACTAGAGTAGCACATCGTTTATACGTTTCTCATTTATACATCTTTTACATCTGCATGTCATTTTAACTCAGTCTCGATTCCTCCATATTTAGATAAACGATGGAAATTTCATTTTATACGACGAGTACCATCTGTAATAAATAGTTATCTCCACGTTTTATTTCGTAACATTTTCACCGAAAGTCGGTTTTACATTGGTATAAGAAGGCAGAAAGGGATGCTCTGCGATACTCCATACTGGATTTGGTTCAAATCCAGCTTGTAGATGGAAGAGGGCTTGAATCCATCTTGAAGAGATAGAACATACATTGCAGTATGCTGACTAGAGGAGATTCCTGACGGGAAACATGTCCTTCCTATGTCCACCAAAAACCATATCTCACTGATTGGATGATTGTTTGCTTTTTTGCACTCTTAGGGCTTTCTGAACGATTAAAATCAAATTTTAATCGTTCAGAAAGATTTTTTTAGTAATTTTTTTATTTATTTTTATTCAAGTTTTTTTTTTTTTTTTTTTTTTAAGAAACATTCAGATGTGCACATTGATTTGAAAATTTTCCTAAAAATTTTAGATGAAAAACTGAGATAAAAGTATGGTCGTTCCACTTTTTATAATTGATTTCTTATAACTAAAAGGAATGTTTTTGCATTTTAAAACTGCAAATAATATTTTTAAAAAAATTAAAAGCTAGGTGATAAAATCAAATTTTATAAGAGTAAGTATTATAATTGAGTATTAAATTTCTGCGGTTAAAATAATACCATACATTGCTATTTCGATTACATAACTTTCTCATTTATACGCCGCAGTACCTTTAATAGATGCATACTAAATGATCTTAGCTGTACTTAGAAACATTCCCAGATCCAATATTTTATTACCCTTTTTATATTACTATTATTTGAAAAGTTGTTTATTTTGGAATTGTTTGATTGGACAGGCCATTTTTCGACACATACACATTTCTCAGCTCAAATATGTTTTTACGAATAAATGATACATAAATTATGTACATGTTAAAATCTTAAGCACTGTACATCTACAAAAGATACTTGATTTCTGGCGACAGCCTTACCTGACGTATCGACGTAGTGCAAGAAGTGGGATGTTTATTCTTCCTTTGACCTTTTCCACGGCTTTCAGGCCAGCGTAAGAAAATAAGATACCACTAAAAAAGTAAAATTCATTTTTTATGAAGAAACGCAAAATTACTGTTCAAAAACTATGATACGTTTTTATTGTAAGTAAAACAACATAATGATGTACATTTCACCTGAAATTTTCTTAACAATATTAAAGAGTTTTAACTTGTTTAGGAGTTGAAAATAACAACATAGATCACTTTAGAACTTTATTGTTTAATTTTCTTTCTTCTTTAGCTAATCAATTAAAACTTTAAAAAAAATTAAAAAGTTTCGCCTAAAAAGGTTTGTTAACGTATTTTACGGTCTCGCTGAGCTCGCAATCTGCCAGTCTGCTGTTGAACTCATTTTTTTACTTTTTATTTTATTTTATTTTATTTTATTTTATTTATTTATTTATTTATTTTGGTCTTTTTAGCTTTATTATTAAGCATTATTTTCTTCGCACTTAGGTCATACACAATTCAACAGCGAAACTACACAAATTTTAAAAACAACGTAACAATATGCGTTTAGAATTCCCGATGCACTGTTAAGCGGTGCAAACATTTTTCTGCGTTTTTCAGTCTTTCCTCAGTTTACCATATCAGTGTTCAGTTTCCTTACTAATGTGGCCTGACAAACATGTTATTTGTCTTTTGATTATTAATGCATTGTGTGTTGACTCCATTTATTAAATATCTCGTTCATGGCGCTTACGCCACATAAAATTCGATTCAACGGCAAAATCAGAAAGCTACTTTTAACACAACATACTATAATCTGTCACTTAAATTAAGCCCTTCAAGTTCTTTTTTCCTCGCTCCCATTGTAATCGCATGTCGCAATCATTCAGCACTCCTGTTTTCTCTTCCTCATTGAGACATCAGATGTAATCAGTATTCATTCATGCGCTTTCCACAAAGCGAAGCAGGCTAGAGGTATAAAGCGAAAGAAGTATTACGGGACTCGACTATCTTTCGCAGTCTGTCGTTATCATGGTTACGAGGCAATATGAGAGGGGGAAAATGACCTTGAAGTACCTACTCTAAAGTAACTGATAATAGAAATAGAATTTTTCCAAGAGGCGTCATTTATCCTAAGTCCTGCAGCAGTCGATGGCTAATGCAGGATGGCATGATGACCAATTCTGAATGAAGAATCATAGATTATCGTGAATAAAAACATTACATAAAGGAAGGTTTTAATAAATTTTGGTTATAAAAGTAGATTTTTGCTATTCCAATGGAAGATACTCTCATTTTCGAATACATAAATCATGTAGGAATCTTTGAATCAAGGTTATCTAAGAACCAATAAGATTCATAATAAAGGAAAAAGTAAACTGTCTTCTACAGAAAGATAAATACATATTTATTAAAAAGGTGATTTTCAAAGACCACTTCAGCAATTAAATTTATATTTCTGAGCGAAGAACTACCTTAGTTGTTAGTCAACGTTATGAACACTTCATATGTCTGTCATACTATGAATTAAGTAATGAAGAATGATTTAACTTTTAAAAAATATGATGTAATACTATATGACTTCCTTGTACGGCTTATTGAACATTAAATTATCGACTTAGTCTAACTTAGTCGATTCCTCGAAGTAAGTCGAAAATGACATAAAAAATTTAAATTTTGAAAGTGTAAGTATATTTTGTGTTAATAAGTTTATTTTAAATTCAGTAAAAATATAAATTTCTTCTGATTTCCTTGAAATTAGAATTTTTACTTGTGGATGAGTCTGAAGATTTCTTTAAAGTTCTAACACTGCGACGGGGGGGGGGAGGAATTCATAACTTTTGATTGAAGTGTTATAATTAAATAATTTACAAAATCTGCTAGTTTTGGATACATCTGCTAGTTTATATCTGCTAGTTTTACATCTGCTAGTTTTGGATAGCAGAAACGCAGTGGTTTCTCAAAGTGGAGGAGGGTTCAAATGAGACTGATGTACTTCCTCTTGATAACGTTATATCAAATTAGATTGCATTCCTCTTCCTATGTATTTATTTTTTGTGATTTTTGTATTTTCTGTGATTCATATTTGTTTGACTTTTGGTTAATTTTACATATTTTTGGGGAATTTTGAAATTTAATGGAATTGAATTTCACTTCTTTTGAGTCTTTGTGAAATTGGTTCTAAATTTCTTACTTATTGTCTATGTTGATTAATTTTCAGCAGTAAACTGCGCGAAGATAAACTGAGATAATTTTGTTTTCAAATAAAAATTTATGATACTATATATATATATATATATATATAGTATCATAAATTTTTATTAGTACATTATCGACAGTATTAAAGGTACACACACACACACACACACACATATATATATATATATATGTGTGTGTGTGTGTTGTGTGTTTGTGTGTGTGTGTGTACCTTTAATACTGTCGATTGAAGTTAAAAAGGGAGGTTTACAGCTATATGTCCCATATATAAAAATTCAGGATTCTACGGTTAGTCGTTTTGTAATTATACCAGAAACATACATACATATATACGTACGTACGTACAGACGTCACGAAATCTTTAAATCCATTTTACAATGCTTTTTGGAAGAAAGAATCCTTAATTCTCTCCGTAAATATAGAGGTCAGAAAATGAGAAAAAAAAATAGGTCCAGTTGAATTCGGGAAGAGTTAAAATGGATATTTCCTTTTAAATATGATACCCCAAATTTTTTGCTATTGGGATACTTTCTTTACTTTGTACAAGGAAGTAAAACAGACAAACTCAAAAGCTTTTCTTCAACAATCAAAAGAAATTTCCAAGCCAAGATTTATAATCATAGTTGGTTTCCTATGCAATTTAAAAACTAAAATTACGAAGAAAGAAAAGAAATGTAAAGATAAACTCTAGGTATTATTAAATCAACATTTTGACTTCAGTATTCGGAAAAAAAAATCCCGCTTCTTTAGCCTAAATGATGTACAGTAATTGAACTCCACCAAGGTAAAGCGCAAGTCATACGACAAGTACAATTAAATTTCTAGGAAAAAAAAATGAGACCGATACTCTTTCAAGAACACCAGGGAGCACGAAATATTAGTATGCTTCCGGGATTGTACAATGAGCACTGTCTACGGACCAAGCGAAGACAACGGTGACGATAGAAAGAAGCACAAGAAAACTTAAAACATTTTCTACGATAAAACTTAAGAAATGCTTTTTTGCCATGGAAATCAAAGTACAGATCAATAGCTAATGCAAACTGCAACTAGAAAAAACCTCTAGAAATGGTTTTTGTATCATAATCAATTTTTTCGTTGTATCAAAATCATTCAAAAGGTATATGAACACAAGATTAAAATTTAAACAGTCTCACCGAAAAACTTTCAATTCCTCAAACGTCTAGAATCAAATTCAGGAAAGCAGATCCAGTATACTTACCTGAGCAGGAAAAACGTTTCCACAGCTAACCATCCATTATGGATCAGCTCAAACTGTAAGGAATTAAACCAGCTTTTACCAGCAAAGGTATCTTCTGCAAAGAAAATTTACTCTGTGTTCTTAAAGATGTCATTTAGAAAGAAACCTCATAACACATTCTGAATTTATTACAATATACTACTAACGACATTCGTTCTTTCAAGACACAAAACTGACAAAGTGATTTTACGCTTGTACGACACTTCAGTAGAAGTTAGTAAATAGTGTTGCTGTGACTAACGTCACTTGTGTAACCTAATCAGAACAAGCCCACGAATTTTATAGTGGCAAGGAGTACAAGACTGCAAATTTTATCAAGGCAAGGAGGCAAAATTGAGCCTGCCGTCGGCGTGAGCTTTGAGCACCGTACAGGGGACAGACCAGCTTTGCTCATTTCTGCCTCAATTTCGAGGGACAGTGTCCGAAGAGGGGGTACGAGGTTTTCCCACCCCTCTTTTCCTACCATTATCGACTCGAGAGAAGTGCTCGCTTGCCGCACAGACACTACACTTTCACAAGCATCTATGCCTTCTCCGGCATTCAAGCCCGGTCCTTCTGTACAGCAGTCAGCATCACTTTCTCGTCTGGGCGGCAGCAATAATATTTAATTAATACTATAGACGTCGTTTAATGTTATAATTCACGTAGTGTTATCGAATTGTTGAAGTCCCCCCAATCTATATACAAAAACGTGGAAAATATGTCGCTTATTGTGATCAACTCTTCAGTTAATATCGTAAAAATATTATGGAATGAAATTTCGTAAAATGAAATTGTTAAATATCTGAAAAATTAGGTATTTTATGCTTTTATGACTTTTATCTTTGACTCAACACATGGTGACGGACAAAACTAACTTAAAAAAATTACATTCATGATAAGTCATATCGTATGAATAATCGTATAGTGGTAATGGGTTAGTACAATAGGGCGCGTTGTAAAGCCCGCTAGGAAAAAAACAATAATCCAATTTCAATAAAACTCCACGTTTCTTAAAAGCCTCCCGACTCAAACAAATGGAGGGACATTACAGACCACCCAAAAAATATACACACAAGATAAAAAAAATGCAATTAAATTTTAAACATACATATTTACTGATTCTAGAATAATATTATATTACTAAATATTGGATAACTGATCAGTAATCCTATCACATATTTTACTATGAAAAGTAACATATAATGTCACACAAAATTACAGCTCTCAATAATTAAAACATTAATTAAGTTCACATTCTCAAATCCTACAGTATCATAATTGTAACACTAATATTTTACTCATTTCATATTTGCCATAAAGTGTTAATCAAGGTAATTTCTTATAAGAATAAAGAAATTTGCAGTGTAACGATTAATTAATTTTTTAAGCACATTCAACCTACTATATCATATTCTAATTTCAGCAATCATTAAACTGACAACTCCAGCCCGGTTACTGAGAATAATCATTAAGGTAATTCAAAATAAATAAAAATACAAAATCATCACTCACTGATTCTTTCACAACATACAATCCTTCTAGATACAGGGAAAAGTATCTTTCCTTTTCATGAATTCATCTCTTAGACTTATTAGGAACATTACAATCCTTCTATTCACAGAGAATTCTCATGGATTCATCTCTTTGCGGAAGGTAATCAATGATCTCCAAAGAACCGTTGTCGAAACTCGCACCGCGCCGGATACTCCTCACGGATTTTAAAATGATTCGCCTTCAACGCTGCGTTCATAACAGCAGAGAGTTCTCAAAGAATAAAGAAGATACCAGAAGTAATCAGTGCTAAAAGTTATTGGTAAAGTACTCTTGAAATTAGGACTTAAAATTTTTAAAGCTTTCTAGAAGAAAATGCTCTTCTAGTAGCTTAGTCAATACAATCCCGACCCGTTTTTTTGGGCCGAAGCCAGCCGCAGGGCGAAAGTCCCGCGCACGAGACTTAAAAAGGTTGCAACTCAAATCACTCCATATCGGACTCCGCTTCGAAATCTAAATCAACAGCCGGCGCTCGCGAGAACAAGACCCGCAAGGGATCAAGCCCCCACACTCTTTTTTTCCTTTCCCTTCTAGCTCAAAAATCAGACTCCGAATGACTTCTAACAAGGTGTAAGCACATAAGTAAACTCTCTTCTCCGCCCCCCGAAAATTTCATAGGCCTACACAAAATCATCAAATTAAATCTTACCAATCCCAGAATTTTACTTTATATTTAACTGAGAAAATTCCACCCCCACGACAAATCAAAAATAAGAAAATCTGACAATGAAGGCAAACATCTGTACTTCGAAATGTGGGAAAGTAAAGAGGACCCTCAACTCACAAGTGGAAACTAAGCTATACGAGAATTTAATTACCTAAGCTTACAATACCCCCCACTGTCTTGAAGTAAACAAAATTGCAACTATAACAAAGAGAAAGCAAGACGATTTTCGTTTCAGCCCCATTAGTAAAAAGGCCACCAGCGAAGCAAATGACAACACAACACCCTAAATGCTTCCACTGTCAGTAAATGGCCATAAACCAAGTGGCTCTTTCAACCATTTCTTGTCTTTGTTTACACTACAGTCTCAAAAATAACGAACCAAATAAAGCCCTAACAGCTTAAGAAAACTCTTTTACGAGATTAGAATACACATGGGTACAAACAAAAAAATACTAGAATAATGATAACTTAAAACAAACATTAATATAATTAAAATTCGCGACATAACAAATTAAAGTCGTCAAATAAAAAAGGTAGAGTCGCCAAATAAGGTTAAAATACGTTGTAAACATTTTTTTAAGTACCACATAAATGTCGCCAGGTAAGAAATTAAACAGTCAAACACCCTGGCTTCGCTTTCAGTCAGTTATTTTTGGTTAAAAATAAAAAAAAAGCAAGCTTAGTTTTGCATCGCTTTTCACTAATTCTATTGATCGATGAAATTTAATTTCAATGTCTTACAAGCGCAACCTAGGATACATATTAGATTTATATATAGCGTTGTTCTAACATAGGTATTTTTGACACAAAATCGGGCTTTTTCTGAAAGAACATAATGATTTTCTCTTTTCCTGTTTCGATTCTGTGAGTCAAATTATGCTTAAATATTAAATTTTGTAAAATTTGGTGAGAGACTTACCTAGAAATTTAAAAATTTATCTTGGGTCACTTTTTTCAGGTTGCCCCAAGAATAATTCACTTGGCAAAATTTTTCATTTTATCGTAATCTATTTTTCTTTCCCTCTCGTTGTACGCGAGAGGAAAAATAGGTGCATCCTTTACTTTTTCAAATAACTTTTAACAAGTAGCGTAAAGCACGTTTAGCGTAATTATCGCTTGTAGCAAATATGCCAAATTTCAAAACGCGCCAGTGTATAAATTCACGTATATCCTGTAAACTTCAGAATAAAGGAGTTTAATTTTTGCATCTATTTTGAGGAGACGGTAAAAATTGTATAGATTATAATTCAAAATATTTTCCCAAAATTTTTAATTCACTAAAAACTATAAATATAAAAAATAAATGAGAAAATATTTTAATTGGGAAAGAAGGAATAATGTTTAATAAAAAAAGAGCTGTTAATAAATATATACAATTTCCAATTAACTTTCAGGAGTTAAAATTTTGAGAACTGATTTTTTTAAAAATTACTCATACGATTCTTACAAAACTTGGCATTTCGAAATGATCCCAGTCATACACTCTAAATTTGGAAAAAATGTATATGTCATTTCAGAAAAAGTTTTATTTTTTGTCGAATGCTATATATAAATCTGATATAGATCCTAAGTCGCGCTTTCGAGACATGAAAAACGCGAGTTAAATTTGACAATCGACTCAATAGAGCGGGAGATGTAGAATTGTCCCTTTCTTTGTGCGGAGTGTACCTTCACCAACCCAGGTATTGATAAATATTTATGGGCTTCCTTCGATGATTTACATCTGATTATAATCAGGTTGATAATAAGGGATTTACTTTTGTTAGACAGACTGAAACAACGAAATGACACCATATGCAAGACTTTGATCATGACCTGTATCTTCCTTTACCGGTAAATTTTCACCTGAACGTAATTTTCCTACTTGATGTGAGATGCCTGAGTTTCACTCCTCTTTTCCCATTTGCTGAGTCCTCTTGGATTCATTCGTTGTTTTCCTGCTTAGTTTTGTATATATCTATGGGTGCAAAGAAATGGCATGCTGAGAGGTGTCAACTGTTGTTGCACACTGAATAATGTGTATTGCTTTGCTGATTTCAGAACAAAAAAAGATTTCCTTCGAGATTTTGCAACTTTGAAACACATGTCTGGTCCTTTTTTATTTGCAGGAAAATTTTAGATGGATTTAGGTTTGATGGTATGTTAGAAAGAACACTGATCAGAACCAGGTAGGTCAAACTCGTAGCCATTGATTCAGTTTTTGGCACATCCCGAGAAAATAACAAGAAGCATATAATTATATTATATTAACAAGAATTGGAACTCCGTTTAATATCCAGGCGTATGCAGTGCAACCTGAGGTGCTAAAACAGAGCTCTTAAGACAGCCTTTTTGCAAAAATGTTTTCTCAAACGACGTTGGGAAAGCCTATTAACAGACGATACTAACTGAAATTCCGTGCCACTTGACTCTGTATAAACATTCGATGAAGTGAGTATCCTAGAATTTTACAAATACACGCGCGGTTCCTATAAAGAAGCAAATTTGCATCGTACGTGATTTTGTATTTTGTATGTCTAGTTATGTCTAGCACGTATCAGTGTGAATAACTTTTCTCTCAAAAGGAGCAAGTTGCCAGCGATATAATAGGATTAGGCCTATTTGAGGTATTGAGTTTGATATGCCTGTTCTAGATCATCCGGCAAGAAGGACTTTTGTTATTATTACTGTTGTTTTTACACTTTCGATGTCTAGTCTGTAGATGGGCTGATGAATGATTATGGATGAGCTAGGGACGTGTCTCAGTTGGTGATGGATTTAGAGCGCTATACTTCATAAAGCTGATCATCCAAGAATGCGCGGCCACCACCATTGGCGGAATTATGTGAGCTCCTTCAGTTTTACGAAACGTTCTTCTGGAAGAAAGATCTCGCATTGCTCATTTGCTGCACACTACTCTGAACGATCAGGCCGACCAGTGAGAATATAGGTTTCCCGAGTGCAGATACTGTTTAGACTGAAATTGTGTTTCTGCCAATTTATGAAATCTGAGAGACTCTTTGTCATTCCTACCACATGGAACGCAATTTTCGGATCATTTTGAGTGGTCGTTTTAAATAGTTTGCACATAATTTCTTTACTTTTTCGAACTTTTACTGATATTTTGCATTTATATGGTCGCTCTTCGCACATGTTAGCTGATTGGCCTTGTAACCCTCAGCTACAGACAGCCTGCAAATTGCACATTATTGTATTTTGTCCTTACAAGAACGATTTTCAATGTATATAAGTTCATATTTTTCGGGTTAATACAATAATTGTTGTGTTGTTATTTGCATTAGTTGTATCCTCAACATGAAGTAGTTAACGTGCTCCTCCTCACACATCTCCTAATTCATCAAGAAGCCCGCGTGACGAGCATCCTTACCGGCCAGCTTCCAATCCTCCCGGTCTTCAGTTTGGAAGCAAAGTGCTTCGATCTACTCTTCCCTCGTAAAGAATTGACCTCTACTGGAGAAACTTTCTGTACAGTTTCAATACAAATGAGGCCCTAAAGGGGCTCGCTGAGGATCTGGAAAGAGCAGGAAAAACTCTCTCTTGCTGCAGGCCAGTATACCCAAGCCAAGTTTGACCCGAAACATGCTCAAGTATTATTCCAATTTTTACGACATAAATAAAAAGTAGAAGGAAGCTGCATCCAAATGAGCTGATGTTGCTCATTTCAGAGCTGCTCTTCATACTGGTCTCACACCATCCGTTGCTAGAATTAACAGTTTTAATCCTAAGAATTTTACATTTATTACAAGTTGAAACAAAACGTCCCAGTGAATGCAATTTGAATTTACTTACTGAATACATCAAAGTCCACTAATACATAGTTATGTCCGAGAATGATCCAACACATGCCCAGGGCTTTGATGCCATGGATGCATTTGAGTTCTGCCGAGCCGCCAGAAGGAGCCACGAGACGTTTGAAGTTAGTCGTGATCGAGAACGCTGATATTATTTTCTCTTTGACACCTTTGAAATAAATTTAGTTAAATTATCGACACAAATGGATTTCTCATTTAAATACAGTAACTTGCGATATTTATAATTAATATGATGGTTTATAATTTAATAACAATTATTTTTAAATCAAATGTATTTATAATTAGTAACTGCGATTTAAACCTAAAAATATACAAATAGCAGTTAGTTAACGCAATGTAATAGATTCTTTTAAAAAATTTCTTATTAAGTTCTTATACCCATTCTTATCTATAAACACAATGAATGTTCGAATATGAAAGAGTCCACTTTATGACTTTTTTAAACTTAACACCAGAATTCACGCACACATACAAATAAATAAATGAAACATACGTAAGAAAATTATTTTAATTGGATCGTTTTTTTATGTACACAATTAAAACGATGCTTAAATTCCTTTTCGAAGTTTACGAAAATTTGCTTAATGCAGGCTTATAAATAATTCATTAAAAATTAAAATTTAAATTAATTCGTTAAAAATTGTCTTAAAATTGCATTGCTGCCTTAGATCTTGTATTGAAATTGATATTTTCCTTATATCTGATCATGAAATTGCATGATTTCTTTAAATACATTATCATATAGATAATCTTTCAATAATATATATGTAATCTTTATATATATTATTATCGAATAATATATATATATATATATATATATACATATAATCTAATATATGCAATCTTAAGACACAATAACACGCCGAATAATTTGTTGTTTGACTTCTGAATTAGTATATGCAATCTTTTAAGATAATTTCTTTAAAAATTCTTAAATTATCTTTAAATTGCACTTTTTCCTTAGATATTGTCTTGAAACTAAATTGTTTAAGAAATTATCTTGAAATCGTACTGTTTCCTTAGACATTGTCTTGAAATTGCATTAATTCTTTAGACATTGTCCAAAGAGGCGTTATCCCAAATCCTCTCGAAAGGTGTATGTGTATGTAAATGAAACGAACGCCCCTATGCCCGTAATGTAAAATCTAAAAGCTTTCGGTTTTTTTTTCTTTCTTTTCCCCCGTGTGTGTGTGTGTGTGTGTATGTGCGCAGTTTAGCGTTTTTTTATATTTTTAATTTATGTTAATATTTCGCACATTTATAGGCATAGTATTGCTTATATAATACAAAAATTAAATCTTGTGAAAGGATAAAGCAATTTAATTTATAAAATTAATTAAGAGACTAAATTTATGCTGTCATTTACAAAATTTTAATTCTAAATTCAATAATCTTAACTATTACATATGTACTCCTGATAAGAGAAGCGATTTCTTAATTTTAATTTATTTTAACTGTTTCTTAAAACTTATATTAATTTTTATTCAATTACTTCTTGAAATCAAGACGGTATTAAAGTTTATATTTGAAAAAAAAATCACATTCTCTTTGGAAATTTTTATTCAACCCGCCCCTATCCATGTCAAAGTTCCTTTCAAAATTTGAATAAAATTTTTAAATTCTACCCAGAGTGAAAATTTAATCAATTCTTCTTAATTTGAAAGGAAAACTTCGCGGGCATTACAATACTCATAAATTCCCCAAACCTTTTATAGGATCTTCTAATGAAAGAAAACTTGTTTAGAATTATAGCTCAATATTTTATGAATCGGATCAGTTATTTCAGTAGAATTCGATTAGTTCACTCTATACACATTATATTCCAAATAAATGACCATTAGAAATATAATAACCTTTAAAAACGCTGCGAAAATTTTTATAGAATCTCTGTGCAAATCTCGTTAGAATATCTAAACCTATCTCATCAGAATCTCTAAACAAAATTATGCAGAAACTATATTTCAACTTATAATTTTACATAAAATTTCTGGCCTGGACTAAATTGGATTATGACTCAAAAAAATTCTAAAGACGTTGCATATTAGAAATTTTTATAGAATTCTATAAGACATATTAATAAAAGCATTTTTAACAGAGACTTTGTCCCTTTGTTCTTTGGCATATTACAAAATGCTCCCTAATTTCAGGATAGTACTTATATACTCGTGTTATGCACTGTTTATCTGAAAATTAAAATATCTGATTTGAACACCACATCACTTTCTTGTACGGCCTATTAAATTATACGCATTTTTGCTGTCTGTAAACTTATTTCCTCTAATTTCATTATAGATACATTTCTCATTCGTTCAAATCAATACTCATTTAGCGGCAAGGTTAGAAACTCATAAAAAACTCACAACATCTTCATTAAATATTGTAAAATACAGAAATCCCTGAAACAACAAATACAGTTAAGAACAATTAAAATATTTTTTTACAATTAATATTAAAGTTTGTACACCAAAACAAGCAATTAGGCCATCGCTCAGGAAGACAAAATTTTCAACGCACAAAATTGAAAGTTAACTTTCGGTCCCACGGGGCAGAACAGACTCTAAAGTAGGTGCACCATCTGATTTAATTCACTTTTCTACTAAGATTTTCAAATGTTAAAAAATGGCTCCATCGTTAGGCCTAGCGCCATTTAAACTTTTAAAGTTTTTGATAATTCTACAACTATTGCATGCTAATCAACTAAAGGTATAAAATCCTTAACCGGAACATAAGGACAACATAATTCAACCTCTTTCAAAGCAAAAAAGGCACCGTTTACCAATATGTAAGAATAAAAATACTAAGCTGACAATGCCGGATATCAGGGTGGGAAATACGTCTGGTGCAGCGGATTGCAACGAAAATACATTCGAGAACGGGCAAAATGGATATTTTCATTTAAATATGACACCCGAAATTACAATTACAGTACTTTCTGTACTTCGAACAAAGAAGCAAAAACTTCATACTTCTTTAAACTTCATGAGGCGTCTGTTTCCTTAAATAGTAGAGAAGAAGAAACCAGTTAAATATTTAAAAAAACAACAATAATCAGAAAAGAGTTTTCTTTTTAACATGAGAGATAAACACAGTATTTCTTTAGCCGAGCTTAACAACTATGTATGCAGCTGCAAATAATAACATAAGGGCAGCCTAACATTTCATTGTTATAAAAAAAAAGACATAACTGATTAATTCTTACAATTGGAATCAAATTGGAAGAGCTAATTTTAAAAAAAGATAAGCCATTGTTTTCATGGATGAAAGGATGCTCAGCATTGCATGCCAGCAGTTAAAGGCTGCGATCAACAGATTTTGATTATAATTGAAATCTTCCCACCCGGTAATAAAATTCATTCATGTCGGTAATGACCTTGAACAGAACGTGGCAAATACTTAGCTGCTTTCCGGCGTTTTCTCTAATATCATTCTTTTGGGAGTGTCTGCTATAGCCATTATATTCTATGACACGTAGTTCTAAATGCAATCGCTTCCTAAAAGACTTATTCTTAGGCTTTTCTTTTTAATAAGTTAACGAAGTGATTAATTTTCTGAGATGACTAATTATAATCAAAAGAATTTATAGAAAATTGCCGCATTCATGAGAAGTTTTTAGGGGGTAATAAAACTGAAAGAATAGAAATCAGATATAGGCATTCATTTTAACTAATTTTTGTATTACGCAGTCTTTTATCTTCATTTGAAAGACACTTAAAGAAAACTGGACATAAAATGTTAATTTCCCCTGCCGCGATTACAAGGTAGCCATTTTAAATTCTATTCTTTGTAAGGAAATTTCAGGTAGTTTCGAAAATTCTGAATAGGTCTCTTATTAATGTCAGTATCAAGGTCTTTATCAAGGTAATATGTTCACGTCCCCAATGTAGTATTTCTTCCTGTCTATTTAAGTCTTTTCCTACGCTCTTACATACATTTCCCAAATAATCGTCACTAATATTTCTAATTATTAACATAAATTAATATTTCTAACTTCATTCTTTATGTTTTAAATTACTAAGTAGGAAGTGAATTCAAAACATTCTATGCTAAATAAATTCTATTAATAAATTTTAAATTTTTAGCCTAAAAGAGGCTAATTGTCTCAAAATGAGATTTTCCATCGAATTGCACCATAAATGCATCATTTCACTTTTCATACGAGTCTGTTGACATTCGTCATAACGTAAGATATTTCTGCAATAGTATATTACAGTACAAGTGAAAAAATTGACAGTTTCACTCACGCGTGTGTCGGATTTGCGCAATGCTTATGGGGTCCCACAAAACTTTCGTAAATATTATGGGGTCCTGGGTCGCGATAAAATCTCAGTGATAAAAAGGGGGTTTCGACTGAAAACATTTTAAGAAGCCCTGATTTGAACAATAAAATGCATGATCTATAAAATAAAAATATATTTAATATTTTCATAAAATGACGTTATATGTTTTTTATTTATTTCATATTTCGTAAAATTTAATGAATAAATAAAACCATAACCTGTAGCTGCTAACTGCAGAGGATACATTTCTGTAAAAGAATATTTCACAAAAACAAAAAGTTCAGCAATTTTAATCAAAAATCTAAAAATACAAATAAAAAAAATCTGAAACCTTTCTGATTTTACATTAAGCACAAAGAGACTTTTTGTAAAGTTTTGTGTGTTATCTTTATTTACTAAATATCATGTTCTTCGCACTTAAAACATAAAATTCAATTCAACACCAATATCGCAAAATAATTTTAAAATGAGCATATCTCCAGAATTTACGATACACAGTCTTGCGCGCTGGAAATAAAAAAAAATTCATAGAGTATTGACATTCCTCGCTTTGAAATGGTTCAGTTTGTTAATCAAAAATTCCCTAAAGTGTTACACAATATGAATCGAATACAAAAAAATTTAAAATTCCAAATTAGGGCTTCCAGATTAAAATATTCGGTGCAAGATTACGTTATTCAAAATTTGATAGCTTTAGGTACTGCTATTTTATCACAATGCGAGAAATATACATACATTTACGCAGATTATTACAACGCGAGAAACATACATACATTTATTTCATTATTTAATTTCTTTAAATATTACACAGGGCAATAATATTTGGTAGCAACTATCTGAAAGTGAACCGACATTTACAGGGGACCAACGCAAAATGCCTAAACGAAATTAATAGCCCTGCTGAGCTAACGTCCTTTGGGGTAAAAATACAAATAAAAAAATCTGAAAGGTTTCAGATTTTAATGATCGCCCTAAATGATTTGTTAATTTAGTTTAAGTTCTTGCTGAGTTCGCAGTCTACCAGTCTGCTGTTGCACTCACTTCACTCCTGCTAACCTATTTCGTTTTGTCTTTTTAGCTTTAGTATTAAGCATCACTTTCTTCGCACTAAAGCCAGATGCATTTCAACAGCAAAATTTCAAAATTTTAACAAGCAGCGTACGTTTAAAATTCCAATCAGTGTTAAGAGCTGCCATATATATATTCTGTTTTTAATTCCACATTCTGTGTATTAAATATCTCGTTCTTTGCACTTACGAAACATAAAATTAAATTCAACAGCAAGATCACACAATGCAATTTTCTATTTTTACCTCAGTCTTTTCTCAGTTGATGAAAAAACAAATGGCTTGGAAAGCTTTTACTTTCCCTGTCTTTTTTACTTCTATTTTGTATGTTAACTTTATTTATTAAATATCACGTTCTTCGCACATGCTCCACATAAAATTACTTGCAACGGCGAAATCCCAAAGTATCTAAAAACAGGTGCTTTTAGAATTTCCGATATATAATCTCACGCGCTGGAGATAAAACTGTCTCATTACGTACAGTACTGCCACTGCTCGCTTTCAAATCACTGAGTATTTAAACAGAAATTCATTCAGGTTTGACAAAACATGCAATATAAAATTCGGGCTTCCAGGTGCACATGTTCGGGTGAGGATTACATTGTTCAGAATTTGATGGACCTAGGTGCCGTCGTCTATTCACAATACGAGGAATTTATGCAGATTCTGCATTAATTAATTTCTTAAAAAATAATGCAGGGTGATAATATCTGGTGGCAACAATTTAAAAAAGAGATTCGCCGTTTACGACGAATTCGCCGTTTACGACGTCCAGCGGACGACGCAAAATCCATTTTCGAGACTAATAGCCTATTCGGGCTAAACAATTCACGTAAAATTATAGATTAAGTTTATAAACATTTGCTTTGCTTCTGGTTTTTTAAGAAGATTTAATTTACAAGAGTACAAAATGAGTCTCAAACGTCTTAGGATTCATTCTTTCAACACATCTCAGCAAACTTTCCAGAGATCATTGACTTGCAAATGCAAGACAGTGTTATTGCTATGACACCTCGAATTCATTTTCCTGAACTATTATCCTCTTAAGGACATAATTGTTTATTCATTTAATCATTTTTTTGATTCAGTGAACATACGCTCTTATGGAATTGAAAGAAGATCAAGCCTCTACATATCATGATTTGATACAAACGGGAATACATGAATTCTGATTTATTCAAAAACTTGTAACTGGAGATGAAACAATATTTTTTACGTGTCATCTTGAGATAAAACTGCAGTTATCTGCTTTGGTTGAAGAAGATTCACTAAAGCAGGCGGAATTTCTGCTTCAGAAACATGTTGGTGACCTTTTTTTTACTTCCTTGTACGAAATAAAAAGGAAGTATTGTAATCGTGAAAAGCTTCAGGCAGCATATTTCAACGAAAATATACATTTTGCCCGCTTTCAAATGCAATTTCACTATGTTTTTGCGTGATATCTGTAACGCAAGGACAGAACAAAGGACTCTTTTCCTCTAAAAAAATTTAAAAACTGCTTTAGAATGAATTCTGAAGAGAATTTTTCGTGGCGTCTGTACGAACGTATGCACGTACGTACGTACGTATCTCGCATAACTCAAAAACGAATAGCCTCAGAACGTTGAAATTTTGTATATAGGGCTACTATAACATGTAGATGTGCACCTCGTATTTTGGTTTCAATCGGCCGCACCAAACGTATATAAATATATTTATAAATATATCCACTCTGTTACCCGGCTCAGTGATCTCAGTTTCTTTACTCTTATATGTTTGTAAATTGTACATTTTTTGCTTTAAAAATGATTGAATTATGTTGTTCTTTATCTTCCGGTTAAGGTTTTTATGCCTTTAGTAAATCTGTATGCAATATTTTTAGAATTATCAACAATTTAAAAGTTGTTTAAGTGCCGCTAAGCCTAATAATTTTTTTGATGGCGGCCATTGCTTGTTTACATTTGAAACAGCACAGTAGTGAATTTGTTGCCAATCTAGAGAAACCGTAGCTTCGCAACAACAAAGATAAACGCCTTCATTTATTATTGCGATTTAAATCATTTTAAATCCTTTCTGGAATTTTTTCGAGGAAATAAGTGTTTAAGATTTACTTAATTTTTAATAATTAGTAATTTAATTTTTAATAAATAGTAATTTTTAATACAAATATTTTAAGTTTTTATGTATTTTTGCCTTGTCGCGAAGTGAGAACTGAATTAATTGAATGTCAAATACTCAATCGTTTGTGAAAAACTGCTTCTTTTTTGTTTTGTTTGCTTAATTTCTTTTATACATCGTTCTAGCTTTGTTATAGTATTTGAATAGAACATGTGGCAAAGATTAGATAATTCTTTAAATGATACAAATTTTGTGCATTCTGAGTTATAATATGAACGAAATATAATACTGTTAAGTGAACCTAGCGCCAGAGTGTCGCTATGGTAAACAAATAGAGTGAATTTTAAAGAATGCATTTTTTCTATTGCGGTTTATGCGCTGTCGGCGAAGAAGATTTAATTCAATCCAATACGTTTGAACGAAATGCAAGAAAAAATGCGTATAATTTAATATTCCGTACAAGGAAGTAATGTGGTGTACACATCAGATTTTTTTATTAAAAGAGTAATTCACGGGGACATTGTTTCGGAGAGAGAGGCAGCGAACTGAATATTTTTAGAATACCTATTGGAAAGATTTTGGAAGATAATTTAGCGTTTTCTAAAAAGTAAGAATGCAGTTTTCTTCAACTTTCGATCTTTCACGAACTTAGCCCTAAAACGTTTGAAAGGTAAGTTGCATAATTCTAGTAAATCCATTTTGTAAATGAAAATACGAAAACGAACGCCGGGATTTTGCAACCTTATCAAAAATTTAATCATAAATGTGCGGAAATTATTCTTGAATTGAAAGGTTGTGAAATATATTTTTTTTTCCTCTGCTCATTAGTATAGATGGGGTTGCTAGTCGTATCATAGGTGGCGTTGATAGTGACGCAGTGAGCGGTTCTCTATTCTTCTAGTCTGCATTCGTGTGGACTGAGCAACAAAAAGCGCAATTTGTGTTGTGGTATGCAGAAGTTAAATCAATTGTATCAATGCAATCATTATATCGGCTTTATCATCTGGAGACAAATCTCCAAATGATAAAGCTTTGAATCGATAGATAAAAATTTCAAACTGGAAGCTTAGCAAAAGGTGCATCTCCAGAACGACCACGCACTTCAGAAGAAAATGTCGAACGCATAAGGCAGTCCTATTTTAGATGTCCTAAAAGGTATATTGCTCATCGAATTTTAGCATTGGGTATTCCGAAAACTACGATTCAAAGCATGCTTCATAAACGTTTACGACTTTAGGACCTACAATATTTAGCTTGATACGAGCCTGAAGTAAAACCTAAAAGCGAGTTGGATTTGCTACGTCTATGATGTTAAGACTTGATGATGACGAAAGCTTCTTAAATCGTCCTCTTTTCACAAATGAGGCGATGTTTCATATCAATGGGTGTGTCAATCGTCATAACTGTTGCATTCGGGGATCATATCAGGCGACAGAAACACCCACCTATACATTTGTGGTTCTCCAAAAACTGAATGTTTGGTGTAGCTTGTTGTACAATCGCGTTGTTGGGACTTCCTCCTTCACAGAGCCCAGCATAACCGGAAACATTTATCAGGTTAAATGATGGAAAATTCTCTCTTTCCACAAATGGATGATTTCGACGCTGTAAATGGGAATAACATATAGTATAACATGGGAATAAATAAACGTTTCCTTGCAGCACGAAGATCCTCTTTATTTCTCCTTTCCTGTGCGTGAAGCCTTAAATGAGAGGTCGTCCAACTCATGGATCGGACGAGATAGCCCCATTCCATGGCCTGCACGAAGTCCCGATCTTACACCTCTGGAATTCTTCTTCTAGAGATGCATTAAAAACATCGTGAACATTGGAAATATTACTGACATCTGCCACCTGAAACGTCGAACTGAAAACTTCACAGATGCTTCACAACACACAGAGGGAGATTGAATATCATATTGATGTCTGTTGCGCAACTAATAGTGCACATATGGGAGCGTCTTGAAACGCGTAAAACTTTGTATCTTTTTAATACATATTTATAGTCATATATGTTTATTAATTTGGACGAATGCTATTTCGGTTTGCGAAGAAATAGATGATCGCTATAGTTGGCTGAATAAGTTTTCTAGAATCAAAAAATAAGTTTCGCTTATTTAAAATTTTAATATTAGACGTAAATATAGAATTCTATTTGTCGCAATAAAGTTACTCAAAATAAAGGGAGAAAATTAATATAGCATGCTTACTTTGTCTTTCGGTTTCTGCTTTCTTCGATCGATGTTCCAGAACACTTCCCGCAACGGAAAGAACGAAAAGGATCACTATAGTTATTCTGTAATGAAAGGGTATTATTTTGCACTGCAAATAAAATGGTCAATTTATGTTAGAAATAAAAATCTTAACCTAATACACGTTTAATTGATTTATATGAAAATAATTTATTGGCCCAAAAAGACGTTTAAAAGCTACGACATAAAAAACAAAGATATTAATCACATAATAAAATATGGCCAATGGTTGATTAAACGGCGTGATAGGTAATTTTAGCATAGTTGGAGCCATGCTTTTATATTTCAGCGAAAAGAAATGGAATTGTGTTTTAAATTAATTTATTGCAAATTAATAACAAAAGCAATTTAGCCATTTGCTTTTCGGATCGAGAGAAGGCGGAGATCTGAACTATAGAGGGCAATTCAAGAATTGGATATTCGCCCTAAAATAACAGCAATCTAAAGAGGCCCTCAAAATCCTAGACAAATTCAACAGTTATAAATGCATACAATAATTCTCGTAAAAAATTTTAAATTCTAGCAGGTGACAAATACACATCAGTTTTAATTCGAATTAATCCTATTCGTTGTTAAAGTTTCGATTCCTAAACCAGAAATTATTAATTAAAGGGTTTTATAACTATATGCGTCATTCGATTTATGTGAAAAACCACACGACAGCGATTAATTTTGAAATGACGCAGTTTAGAGAAATTTATTACAAACAGTTACTATTTTTAGGACAGAAAGTTGAAATAACCAAATTAGTTAAGGGACTATTGCAACTTAAAGTTAAATTTTTTATTTACATGTTTTTAAACTTACATATATATATATATATATATATATATGTATATATATATATTATATGTAAGATTAAAAAAATACACACACACAACATATATATATAAATAAACTTGTATAAATATTTGTATGTGTTTAATCAAAGCTTTACTTTTTATTTCTGTTAATTTTACCATTGCATGTTAGCTTTTAGAAGTCAGCGTAATCCGAGACAATGACAGTTAAATAATCCTAGACCATACTAAGGTCAGTCTATGATAAATAATCCTAGATAAATAATCATACTATGGCCATAGTATACTATGGCATATTAATCATACTATGGCCATAGTATGATAAATAATCATACTATGGCCATTCTATGACAAATAATCCGAAATGACACTGTGGCCAGACACTATGAACAGCGTATGGCAAATTATCTTAAATGACACTATGGTTACTCAGTGGTAAATAATTCTAAACCACGCTATGGCCAGTTTTTGACAAAATAATCCTAATTCACACTGTGCCAGCCTATGACACTATGACCTGCGTATGGAAAATTATCCTAAATTATACTAAATCTATGATGCTATGGCTAGTCTATGGTAAATAATTCTAAACCACGCTATGGCCAGTCTTTGGAAAAATAATCCAAAATGACACTGAGCCAGTCTATGGCACTATGTCCAGTGTATGGCAAATTATCCTAAACGACGCTATGGTAAGTCTATGATGCTATGGCTAGTCAGTGGTAAATAATCCTAAAAGATACTGGCCAATCTATGACAAACAATCCTAAACCACACTATGGCCAGTCTACAACAAATAACCCTAAACGACACTATGGCTAGTCTATGACACTACGACCAATGTATGACAAATTATCCTAAAATATATTATGGTACTCCACTTTCGTCTACAATGCTATGGATAGTCAGTAGTAAATAATCCTAAAGAACACTATGGCCAATCTGTGACAAATAATCTTATGACAAATATGTGACAAACACTGTGGCCAGTCTATATATTATGAGCTGCCTATGGCAAATTATCGTAAAATAAACTATGGTAAGTTTTTGATGGTATGGCTAGTCAGTTGTAAATAACCCTAAACCCTACTTTGGCCAGTCCATGATAAATAATCCTAAACGACAGTGCGGTTACTCTATGACACTTTGACCATATTTGTATGACAATGTATGACAAATTATCCTAAACGACACTATAGTAAGTCTACGATATAATGGTTAGTCAGAGGTAAATAAATCTAAACCACACTATGGCCAGCCTACGATAAAATAAGCCATCCTAAACGACACTATGACCAGTCTTATGACATTATACCCAAGTTATGGTTAATTATCCTTAACGACACTATAGTAAGTCATCTATGATGCAATGACCAGTCAGTGGCAAATAATCCTAAAAGACATTATGGCTAGTCTATAGCAAATATTCCTAAACGACATTATGGTCAATCTACGATGTTACAGCCAGTATATGATACATAATCCTAAACGACAGAATGGCCAGTCTATGGCAAGTAACCAGTAAGCAACATAGTAATGCCACCAGGATGAATATCAGGAATGATGTATCAAACATACTTTTTCGAATGTTATTGCTTTCAAGGTAACTACTGCAAAGCCAAACAGCCTTAGAAATGTTTTTTGTGAAATTTTTTATTTATTATTATTATTTATTATTTTATTTCCTATGCACAAATTATCTTTAGAAACTTATCTTTGGGTGATGAGATGCAAGTAAAATCCAGCTAGTAAACATGAAGGTAGAATCCAATATCAGAACCAGAATTTATACAATAAAATTTTAAATACAAAGAACTAAATTTAAAATCCTGCGAAGAATGTCTCATGTTGTCTCGAATCTCCTAATACAGTTTAAATAGAGAGATCTCTATTAGAGCAAGACAAAGAAGGAGGTTTTCACCATCCATGAAAACGTAATTTCAAAGAGGACACAGGAATATCGAAAGTTGCGAACTTTTTCAAGTGGACATCCATGCAGTCATGTCCATCTGCTTGTCAGAATGCAGCAAGCTACACTGCCTCAAGGATAATCTAGAAAGTGGAGTACCTGCATTCGATTTTCAACAAAGTGCTTAAATATCTGTTTTTACACTAATCGTCATATCCATAGTCATTGATTTAAGTGCGTTTGTCTCTCAACAAAATCTAACGACTGCTTCAGTGTCCACGTTCTTCAAACTGAACAGTCTGAAAGTCTTAATATTAAATTCTTGAAACTAATTAAACTTATCACGTTTTCTATGAAAGAGAGTTAGAAAGTTATGGCTTTCTCCATGAAATAATGTAAACAAATTAATACAAACAACTTACATCACAGCGACGTGGATAGGCTCCAGTTTGGAGGCTTCTTTGGTATAACATTTGGGTATTTTAAGCTGAAAATCAGTTGCATTGGCCACTAAAAATAAAATATTGTATTCATACAGAGCGAATAGTCTAACAAGTAAGCAAGCAAACACAATCATTGCTCACTATATATTTATATACACAGTTTAAATCAAAATCACCTTTTCTAAAAATAAAAATAGCGAAATTGTCACTAATGTAAAATGAGATTGTTTTTTAAATATGTGATTAATATTATAGCTATTATTGCTTCAAAAACGTGCAACAGCCAAATTATGTTAAAGCAGTGTACACTCTGCACACGAACAAGAACAGGGGGCAGTTCTGTACCTCTCGTTCCACTGGTCCCATTGACGAAATGTAACTTGAGTTTTCCATGCCTCGAAAGCGCAAATTAAGACATGTATTAGATTTATGTATGCCTTTTTTTCAAAATCGGACTTTTTTGAAATGATATACGGACATAATTTGATTTGTAGAAACTTAATAACGTTTCTACGAATCAAATTATGCCTAAATATTAAATTTTGTAAAATTGATGAGAAACTTACGGAGAAATTTAAAAATTTGTCTTGGCGCACTTTTTCCAGTTTGCGTCCAGAATAATTGACTTAACGACATTCTGAATTGATGGTAACCTATTTTCCTTTTCCTTTCATTGCGCACGAGGGGGAAAATAGGTGCATTCTTTCAAATAACTTGAACAAAGTGCATAAACCACGTTTTGGGTTATTATCGCTTATAACAAACAAGTCAAATATCAAAACGCTCCAATATACTATAAATTCACGTATATCTTTGGAAATTTTGAATAAAAATTCTGTTTTTGCAGGTATGCTTAGAAATACATTTAATTTAAGGTGATAGTAAAACGTTTGTAGGCTATAACAGAAAAAAATGTTTCCAAACATTTATAAAAATTTCTAAAAAATACAAATTTTCAAAATGAATTAGAAACAAAAATGCGAATTTTATTTGGATTTAAACTAAATTTCCAATTGTGAAAGAGGGAATAAAGTAAATTTAAGAAAAAAATGATATATTAATAAATATATATTTCATTCAATTAACATTCTCAAAATTAAAATTTTTTGAGAGCTAATTTTTGAAAACTACTCATGCGACTTTTACTTTGGCCTAGTTTCAGTAGTAAAATCGAAATATGGAAAAATATAGGTACGTCATTTCAGAAAAAGTCCGTTTTTGTGTCAAAATACCTATGTTAGAACAATACTGTGTATAAATGTAATACGTATTTTAAGTCGTACTTTCGAAACATGAAAAATTTCGTTAACCGGCCCAATGCAGAACGGGACATACAAAATTATATCTCTCTTCTCTCTCTCTTTTTTCAGAACTTCAAAAAGCACAAACTATCACTGTATCAAATGACATCACCGAAAAAACTTCAAAAAACATGCGGAAATTTTAGTCCTCAATCCAAAAATAAAAACAGAACAATTCCAGAACACCAGACAAAGCCAAACTGTATGAAACCGAAACCTGAACAAAAAATCACTTCAAACATGAAACTTATAAAAGAACATTTTAAAACAGTTTTAAAAACAAAATTTAATGTATTTTACCTCATAAAGGTATGCTTCTAACTTGAGCAGATCTACCAAATGTGTTGAAAGCACTATTTGTAAAATCATCTTGTAAAGACATTAGGCCATTTAGAAGCAGGAGTGATGAAAAATGAGCAACGCCCTCGCCTCACCGGGATTCGAACCACGGACCTCTCGAATACGCGCCCAGCGTGCTGTCCACTACACTACGAAGGCATGCTAAGAAAGCGGGAGTAATACCTTATAACCTTCAACTTTTATTTAAAAAATAGGAGTGAACTACAAGATGGAGAACAGAGATTTAGTGTAAAAATGAGAGACGCTAGAGACGCTAACATTCAAAAAAAAAAAAAAAAAAAAAAAAAAAAAAATCCAGCCTTGCCTCCACAAAAGACTTTAGAGAACTGTAAGAAAATTTGATTCCAATGCCAATATTATAAAAAAATGAGACTACAATGAAAGAAAATAAATGTAACATTTTTTTCAGTTATTTAATTTATGATATCATTCTTTGTAAACCTTTCTTTGTAAGATCATTCTTTGTAAGATCATTCTTTGTAAACCATTCCAAATTCCTGTATAACAGAGTCGGAAACTTCGGCAGCCAAAAAAAAAGTACAGTTAGATATATTTGGTAATGAAACAATTGCCATAAAATACTTAAATGAATCATTTCACCGTTAAAAATATAATTACCTTTGTCAGCAATATGCTGCACATCTTCAACTGAGCAAGCAGACGGCAAACAAACAATTAACCTAAGAGCTTTGGCATGAAGTGCTTCGTAGGCTGCATGAAATTGGGCACCAAACTAAAATAAACAAACAATAAATAAATAAATAAAATAAACATAAACAATATTTTTTTTTTTAATTTGAAAGCTTTCAGATTTTATATTACGCCCAAAGGGATGTTTCTTTCATTTACACACACGTACACGTTTCGAGAGCATTTCGACTAAAAATATGTGAAAACAGTATATCTTTAGAATTTCCAAAAAAAAACAGTCTCGTGTCCTGGAGATAAAAATATTTTATTCCATAACTTTGAGTGCTACCTGACTTAACCGACTACCATGAGCTTCAAATGTAAATATAGCCGCCATGTTAGGACTAGCGAGACTTACATTTTTAAATTGTTTGTAATTCTCTAATTATTGCATGTAGATAAACTGAAGGCATAAAATAATTAACTGGAACTTGAGAAAGGAGTTTCAACGTTGTACAACTAGTCGTTTTTGAGCTATGCGAGACGTGCACGATGATTCTAAATTACTTTTACAAATTAAGAGGTGTGATAGTGCTCGTCCAGATGAGCAATAACTACCATAGAACATAGGGTCTCATTCCACTCTGAAAGGCAGAAAAGAAGAATATTATAATTCCAGTCTGAACTTTTAACAGTGTTGGAAGAGAGAATGAACGAGACCAAATGTTCCATAATCAGTTTGACAAACTCACAGAGAGTGCACAAAACGGATAAAACCGAAAACTTGGCGTTCGAGTGTTCATTAGAACTGACACTTTGATGGCTAAAACTCAAATGCACATCTTTGGTTGGCAAGGTCTCAACCTCGCAAATGATTGAAACAAGTTAATTATTTAAATTATTAGGGGAAAATTATCTATTAGGGAGAAAACTACCTTGATATTAAGTATCAAGGTAGCAGTTGTTTTTCTCTTAGCCATATTCTATGATGTCTTCCTGGACTTTCTCTGCTGATTTCTACTTGAAGCGCCCTTCTATGGGACACGAAGTTCTGACAGCCGGAACTCAGCATGAGATTTTCATACTAATCTCGGCATGCAGCGGACGTTAAAGTTTGTTGATAATATATATAATAATATTCGTTAAAGTTTGTTGATAATATTGACTACAAAATTAACTTGTTGCGATCGTTTGCGAGGTTGAGACTTTTCCAACCGAAGATGTGCATTTGAGTGTTTACCATCAAAGTCTGCGCTCGAATTAGCGCTCGAACGTCAAGTTTTTGGTTTTATCCGTTTTGTGCACTCTCTGTGAGTTTATCACTAAACTGATTGTGCAACATTTGGTCTCGTTCATTCGCTTTTCCAACACTGTTGTAAGTTCAGGGTGGAATTCTAATATTCTTCTTTTCTGCCTCTCAGAGTGGAATCCGATCCTGTGTTCTATGGTAATTATTGCTCATCTGGATGAGTACTATCATCCCTTTTAATTTGTAAAAGTTATTTAGAATCACCCTGTATACATACGTAGGCACGAACAGACGTCAAAAAAAAAAAAAAAAAAAAAAAAATTCCTTTCTGAACCTATTTTACAATTCATTTTGGGGGGAAAGAGAATTCCTTTATTCTGTCCGCATGTACAAATATCACGCAAAAAAATCGTCAAAAGTATTCGGGAGCGGTCAAAATGAATATTTTCGCTGAAATATGATACCTAAAATTTTTCGCGATTACAATACTTCTTTTGCTTCGTACAAGAAAGTAAAATAAAAGACACACGTCAATTTTAAATTGCATAAAAATGCGACCTTAGTTTGTAGGATAAAACTCGTAGGACCTTAGTAGATTTTGGATAAAACTCGTAAGTTCAAAATCCAAGTTAAATGAATACTGCTTTTTAGAATAATTTGAAATGTTTTTCATTCAAGTCACGTTACTGGAAAATCGTTCACTCTTCGACACTTTCTAAGACCCAGATTTTCTAGAAAACTGTTTTCCCTCTCGGATCCAAAGGTCAAGGGGAGAAAAAAACGTGACAAGGAAAGAAAAAGAAGGTGTGTGAAAAGTCACGCGACAGTTAACTATTATGTAGGGCATTCACCTTTACTTTCCTTTTTAATAATTTATTGTTGCGAGAAATGTGAAATTTTTTTAACAATTAAAGAAACGTAAAGTACAATAGATTAACTGTTGTGTGCGAACTTTAGTTAATCGTGGGTTTTTTTTGAAAATAATAAAAGTAATAAAGTATTTGAGCAATATATAGAATGTGACTGTATGTTTGATTTATTTCTTTATTAAAACTAGTCACTAGTATGGCTAGTCACCTAATAAAGATATTATAGGAAAGAAAATATATATAATGATTCCAGGTAGTGTAATTTCATGCTATTATTTTAATGTTTTTAATCAGATATATAATAAATTAAGTTAACTTTTGACTTAAATAATTCCGATTTAAGTGTGAAAAACAAATATTTTTAAGAACTGCGTTTATTACTTTTAAATCGCTTAGCTATTACCGCATAACAGAGGGAATAAATTTGAAAATTAAATATCCTACGTTTTACTAAATGGCAACACATTGGAGAGTGGAAAAAGAGAATATTTTATTTCCGGGAATGGCAACACTTTGCTTTGAAATAACCTAATATGTTGATTAAATCTGAAATTTAAATATCTTTTCCAAATGGCAGCCCATTTTTCAAAATCCTTTAATCACGATGAAGGTAGAAATGTTTTATTTCGAGCAGTGACTTCTAAACCATCGAATTTATTAATCAAAAATTCATGATACTCGTACAAAAAGAAAATAAATTTAAAAAATTTCGAAATTCGGGCTTCAAAGTGCGCATGCCCGGGTAGACGACTATATGTGTTTCAAGTTTAGTGGTTCTAAGTGCCGCCATTTTGCCACAATGCGAGAAATATTCACATATACATACATGCAGGTTCTTCCTTCTTCAATAATAGGGTATTAAATAAAGACTATCGTTAATATCAAAATAAATAACATCAAAATAATGAAAATTAATAAAGATTTGTTTGCTGCATCTAGGCTATCTTACGCTTAACAGGGCATGGAGGCATTTTTTTCACATGTTTCAAATCAATTTTTAACATCATTACTAATTTTAGCTATTTATTATATTACTAAAAATTTTTTAAAAATTCCTAAAAATCGTTGAGTTGACAAGATCTCGAAATACAGTCAATGCAATTATGTTATATCTGTTCTATTTAGAAACATAGCTGTAATTCTATTGTTAGTTGATGTTATTTATTTTAAGTACTCCTTTCTGTTTTTGGTTTTTAAAGTGTAGAGACATTAGGTTAATTGGAAAAGCCGGAGAGATGAAAATGAACAACTGCCTTCGCCGGGAATCGAACCTTGGACTTCTGAAATACAGGCCAGACCACTACACCAAAGGCACGCTAGGAAAGCGGAAGAAATACCTTATATACTCCCATTTTTAAAAGGCGACTGGGGTTTTTAGACCAGTCGCCATTAGGGGACCCAATCGCCAAATCCTGGGTGTGGAGAATCCAACACTCTTTTAGTTTCGGCGCCATTGTAGAGACATTAGGCATTTTTTGGAAGCAGGCAAGATGAAAAATGAGCAATCGCCTACGCCGGGAATCGAACCACGGCGCTCTGGAATACCGGCCCAGCTTGCAGAACCACTACACCACGAAGGCGGGAGAAATACCTTATAAAAGTAAAGGAAAATTTCTGAATTTTTTTCCTGTTTAATCCCATATGAGTTAAGTTACATACCTAACTATTTTGCAATTTCCTTTCATTATTCTTTCACATATTTGCAATTTCCTTTCATTAATCCATTTTGTTATAAATTTTAGTTTTTATGTTTATCTTTTCCAATGGTGGGCATTAGGCATAATAGGCTTTCGTCACTACTAAGGGTGGAAGAAGTGGTCACTCTATTCTGAAGGCACCTAACAGGTGGGCCACCGGAACAGAAAGTTTACATCCATGCCTTATCCAGGATTCGAACTCAGGTCCTTTGACACGGCAGTCAGAGTCAATAACCGTCTGGGCGGCATACATTTATATATCAGTATCTTTAACTTTTTTTATGTTTTTATAAACTTTAGAGCTTTAACTGCACCGAAGCTCAGCTTTGGTACTTTTCTATATTTCAGATAAAATGTAATTTTTAATTCTTCATTTATGTAACTGAACCACAATTTCAGCAGAAAATTCTTTTGATCCCGAAAGTTTTATTTGAATAACAAATAAGCCTTAAAAATCAATCGGTGCTAACTTCTGTTAACATCCTTGTTTTTTCCCTAGAAAGTAAACCCTGAACGGAGTCTGATATTTTTAAGGAGAGAAAAGCCCTCCACCCAAATGTCGAAGGCAAGTTCAATCAATTTACGGCAGTAACAAAACGCCCCTTTGAGCGTAATATAAAATCTGAAAGCCTTCAGATTTTTTTTATTATTATTTTAATTATTAATACTCTTAGTTTTTTTTCCTTTGCTTTTGGTTTTGTTTCTTTTCCTTACGGTCTCTCACAGAGCTCTGGCACTTCTACTTTGGAAATTAAGCCTTGCATAGAACTATATTATTTTCTAAACACGACTAGAATGTAGGGCACAGAGATAATTTAGATTTTGAATTTTAAGAATACAAATAAGATATAGAATCCCATGTAACAATGTTTTGATTGCTCCTACATTAAACTATATTAATTGCAGTTGTGTAAATACAATCATCAAGCTTGGGATGTTACTTCTTACCGTGTCTTCTGGATCAGCTACTTGGACGTTAGCAAGAGAAAAGTTCCCCAATTTCGGTGGTAGGGGAGGTTTAGCCTCCACAGCACAAGAGCTCCCTCTGAAGGCCAGCTGTCCATTTTTCTGTCGTACTTCAATATCGAGACATTCATCAAAAGATCCGAAATCTGCCATCGTTCCCATCAGGATCCCGGGAGGTAATTTAGATGTTGCATCCAGCACTGCAAAGACATTTCATAAAGTAAGAAAAAACTGATGTTATTCTGCATCTGCGAACTGCTTTTACATAGGCTATTCATTCGCACATATTTTAGACAATTTGGCTGTTCTATAAAAAATCGTCAGCTTGAAATTTTCTTTTAACTGCAACTATATTTTTGAAAGTCTTAAGTTATCGTCTGCTGGTTAAAAGAAACAATGGATGGAAGGCTATGTTTGTCTTTTATCAAACGGAAATTGTTCGTATCTAGTTATCAAAAAGCGCCATGAAACTCATAGTTTCTCGATTCTAAAGCTATGATAGGTAATCCTTACATACAGATGTCAGGCAAAAAAAAATCGTTAAATTGCATTCGATAGCTGTCAAAATGGATATTTTCGTTGAAATATGATACCCGAAAATTTTCGCGATTACAATACTTCCTTTACTTTGTACAAGGAAGTAAAAAATATCAGATAAACAAAGTAAAGGAATATTATTTTACAATTTCACTAAACAGTTTTATTATAGGTAACGTCATGCAGTTTATATCGTATTTCTCTCGCCTTCTTAGCGAGCCTTCGTGGTGTAGTGGTCTGCACGCTCAGCGCGTAATTGAGAGGTCCGCGGTTCGATTCCCGGCGAAGTCGTTGCATATTTTCATCTTTACTGCTTCCAAAAATACCTAATGTCTCTACAAGTTACTTATCCTTCCTTTCCCATTCTTTTTTTAGACTATATTTTTTCAGAAAAACTACCAATACTGCTTTATAAAAGAGATCAATTAGATTGTGATCTTTAATAGTTAACTACGTAAGTTTAAAATTCTACTAACAGTTATGTGTAGCATTAATTTTCTACTCCAGTTTTTGAGTGCTTAAGTTTTCTTCTTGCTTTTTTTTTTTAAGAAAAATGTATTAGTTTTTTTTTTTTCCCAAAAATATAAAATATATAGGTCATTCCTCCCAGCCCTCGCAAATGAATATACATTTACAACTTTTAAAGCCTGAAAATGCATACCTGCGATGTTATCGTCAGGCGATAATTTGTAGGTAGTTTATTTTTTATCACGATATTTTCAACTACGATATTTTAGAACTGCGAGGTTTTTCCCTTGTTTTCTTTTCTGCCGCCATTATTTGTACGACGATGTTTTCGCCCTGCGTTGTTTTTCCTCTAATGTTTTTATCCGCGATGTTTTTTGTCCCGATGCTTTAGGCGGACACCAACATGGATACGAGTCAGTTTTCCCTCCGCGCAGAGAGATAGCCCTCAAGTTGCGTTGGTTTACTAAATTAACCAAGCCTTCACATATAAATATAGATCTGATGAGCTTCGCTGTAAACAACACAGAAAATAACAATGGATAGAAAAGGCGATTTCCTTTGATAAAGGAATCAAATTCAAGATAATTAGACTAAAATATTACGCTGTACAAATGATAAAAATATATTGCTAAAAGACTGTAGGGAGCCATTGTAAAAAAGATGAGAAACAGTAATGAATATCTCAAGTTTTAGAAAAGTGATTATGAAAATTATAGTAAACACTTTGTTTAATAAAATGTTATAGAAATGCTTTCAAATACCAATTCGCTGCCAATTGTTCCTAAGGTTCTTACCACGTGCAACTACCATTCAGTTGCTAAGTCCAAAGGTTTGAAGATTTGCTACGCTTTCTTGATTATGCGCATAAGCCACTATTGCAACATCTACGCGGACTGCTAGATGACATTAAAAGACATGTGTCCCCAATAGATATTTAAGTCCGTTTTGGAAACTGTAAGGAATTTTCCCTTTTCTTCTTCGTGGAGAAAATACTTCCAACTGGCAGTCGGAAAGCCCAGAGTTCGAATTTCGGCGAAGTTCTGAATTCCAATCTTTTTCCTATTTCCTGTTCCAAAACAGATCTAATGATAAGTATGGCCCAAACTAAAATATCGTACCTCTGTCGCCGTTTAAGTGAGGGAGAATGCAGGTCATTTTTCTTTCTCCCTAACTCGTGCCTTCGTGGTGTGATTTGAAGAATGTTCGGTTAGCACTGGGAGTCCGCAGCTCGAATACCAGCGAAATTATTAGTCATTTCTGTAGTTTCTTTCGCCAAAATGAACCCGATGACTCCATGCGTGGCGTTCGGAGGGGGCAATATTTCGTTATAACCCGGATTTAACGATTTAATCCTCTCCTTCTCAGTCGCCGTTTAAATGCGGCAGAATGTAAAGAAATGTTTCCTTTTTTACCGTGTGTGTTCGCTATTTAATAAGAAGGCACGTGAGAACTGCAATCGGGAGGTTCGGAGTTCCATCTCCGTTGAGAGCATCGCTTTGTTTTTTCATGTTTAATGTTCCTATAAAATAAAGAACAGTTTCAAGACATCTTGACGATGAAAATTTCTGCAGCACGAAACATTCGAAAGGGGAAAAGTGTACAGGAATACTACAAGACGAAAGTCAGGATGCAAAGCATTCGATGTTGCAGTTTTCATGTAATGAAAAATTATTTACGTAATAAGCATGCAGTGTAATGTACTCCGTAGGTAGTGGCTACATCTGAAATTATACATTTTAGATATGCATCAGGCCAAATAAATGTTTTACTAATCAACATCTTTAGGATTGTTATTGTTGTTGTTACCAATCTCACTTGCCTGAGAGTGGTCAACACGAGCCCACGAGATTCATCGTGGCAAGCACCAACTGCAGCAATGCCTGAGCACTATATAGATGACCAGCTCAATTCCACCCTTCTTCCCCTAACCTACCTCTCGAGAGGACTTTTCAGCTCGCCCCATATTTAGAGTGCTCCCATGCCCCGCAGACATTATACATTTACTTTGAGCAATTAACTCTGATAACGAATATATGAGCTCCTAGCAAATAAATAAATAAATAAAATTCTGTTCTGTATCCTTCAAACAATCAACTATTTCGATTTCAGTATTTGGATTCGCGACAAAAACATCCCTGTCGCAGGATGTCATTAACAATAGAACCTTTTTTATATCCCAATGAAATTATAATTACACAGTAAGCTAGAAAACTCTTTACACGAGGAAGGTCTTCGTAATCATTCGTCAAGTAAAGCGCTTAACAGGTGGCTAAGTTTCCAAAGGTCATCACTCCCGAAATCAACTCGAGCTGTATCGGACCTTCACAATTCGAGAACGAAACGTGATCTAATTTCAGTCGCCGACAGGTGAAGTGACTGACATTCACTTCCATTCACCGATAGAAGGTTTTCCAGATCTTCCAGTCGTTAATATCTCTGTAGAACTTTCGTTCACTGGGACTCGCCGAAAAAGTTGCTTCCTGATGCCCTTGGTTAAAGACTTTTCACGAATAGGTGGAGCAGCGTAGGCAAAGAAAAAGTGCATTCATCCTTGTAAATAGAATATCTTCTAGAAGAATTACTCATGTTTACTGGTTTTCTTTTCTTGTCTTTTTTTCTCCTTATATTGCTTCATAGAATATTTCCTCCGCGGTAATGCTTATACATTTCCTTTTAAAAGAAATTACTAAAAGAAAGGCATAATTTAAGTTGTTGCAATTCTTGTAAAATAAGATGGCCGCTCGTCTCATTGTGTAGAAGCTATTCAATCATACTTATCAGAAATTAAGAAGCCTGAAATTGTAATTGTTTTTAAAAACATAAAAGTCCTACGAACGGTATGATTTATAGCGGCTCATGTAAATAATCATTGTATTTTATATCAATAATCAGAATTTTATCATTATTATGGGTTCAGCTAGTAATGATTGAAAACAGAGAAGCAAACTGAGTTTCTTGCTTTTAAATCGCTTAGTTTATTAAGTGACTAGCCGAAGTTATGTTAGATTGAGAGTAATGCATCTAATAACAGAGAGAACGATAACGCTGTAATCCTTCTCTAATAAAAAATTTCCATAGAAAAATAAGCTAATTCTATCTCATTATATCAGCAATAATAGCACGCAGTTTTTAATGATTTTCGTCTTTCTAATCGAATAGTCTTAAAAGCTCGAGTTCCATCCAATCTTTCAACTATCTTCAATTTTAGTCGATTAGATGTGGCAAAAAATGGATCATAATTGATAGTGTAAAACTTACACGTTATTAACAAACTCTACGGTTTGAAAGCGAGCAGCAGCAACCCTTTTCGAAATAAAGCATTTTTATGTCCAACGCTCGAGAGTGTTGCCACTCGGAAAAATCAGTGCGAAAATGAACGTTTTCAGAATTTTTAATTAGTATTTCGGCTGATTAAAGTCATACGAAGATGGGAATAATCGAAGTGGCTTCCCACGAATTTTCGGAATAGGGAATAATGTATTTAATGTTTGGCAATGCTATTTTTATTTCATTGTAAAACTTAGAAATATTTTCTTAACAAACGCTAGTATCTGAAAGCGAGAAGTGGCAACAACTTTCTAAATGAAACAGATTTTCATCTCCAGCTTGCCAGGCTGTTGCCACTCGGAAAATAAGGGCGAAATTATCGTTTTTCGAGTTTTTAATTAATATCTCTGATTTTAGCTACTTTGTTTGGAAAAAAGTGGACGTCGACCTTTTCCAGGACCCAGAAAAGAATTGTAGGAAATTTGGTGACGATATAGTAGTGATTGAGCTATTAGAGGACAACGAAGCACACAGACTTTCCTCTTTGTATATATAGATAACAGACAGATTAAATTTGGATAAAAAATTAAATATCTTACGCTTTTCCAAATAGCAATAGAATGGCTTATTGAAGATGAAATTAACTTGTTTCACGCAGCGAAAACATATTTGTTTTAAATTCCGGCTTCATTCATTAAATTTGTAAACAAATATTTTACCCTTTTCCTAGTGGCAACCTAATTCTTTAAAATCGCTGAGCGTGTTATTGTTGTTGTGACTACTCTCACAACATCACTAAGCATGCATATGTTCAGCGTACTGTTTCGGTTTACAAATGATTTTTCAACGCTTATTTTCCAATTGATAGCAGCTCACACATCCGAATTTTTACACCACATGCAATTAATTTTTACCTATCGTAATAAAATATTAGGTTTATTGAAATTAAAAATCTGATGTGGACAGCACATGAATCCCTCGTAAGTCCCATTAAATTTTTGCTGCACTTAATTTAAACTTAGTTCCTCAAATTTCGTTAGAGATATATTACTCATTCAATCAATTCAGTTCTGAATTTGTGGTAAGGCAAAAATACACAACAATCAAAACATCTCCATTAAAATTTCTAAAATACAGAAAAATGTAAAACACAAAATTCAGTTAAAAATAATTAAGAGAACAAGTTTTAAAATTAAAATTAGAGTTTCTACGGCAAAACAAGCAATTCGGCCAACGAACAGGATTGATAATTCTACAACTATATGCATGCAAGTTAAATAAAAGCATGGCAGAACAACATAATTTAATCTTCTATAGAAAGAAATTGTACAATTTGCCAACATATAAGAATAAAAAAACTGGACTCACTGACCAATAAAATATTGGCGCAAAAGCAAACTTCTAAATTTAAATCACTATAACCACTTTTATTTTCTATTTCATTTGGGAACTTCATTTATCTGTCCTAAAAATAGCGCTTAAGTCTAAACTGCGTCATTCAAATTAATCATGCAATATTACGTAACCCCTAATGCCCTCTTGATCAATCACCGAATTGTAAACCATAAATAAAAACTGACTCCCTCCCTTCTTTCTATGAAGTGATGTGTCACTTTCGCTTATGCTTTCCTCCTGGCCAGAAGCTTTGCGGCTACTTTCTTTGTTCAAGGAATATGTGCTGATCTAACAGAAATGTAGAGCCCATAAGACGCTCGTCCGTATGTGAACCAAATATTTCGAATCCCGACTTGCTTTCCTCGATAATAAAGTTATCTTGAATCCGGACATGTTTGCCTTGACAAGTTTCTTCGCTACTCATCTATTACGCCATCGCCAAGCTCCAAATCCTTCATTTTATTTCATCACATACACATATATACGTTTCGTGTGATCGATTGCAACAAAAGGGAGGTGCACAACTAGATGTTACAACATTTCAGCGTTTCAACTGGTTGTTTTTGAGTTATGTGAAATGCATACCTACGTACGTACTTTCATAGGTACAACGTCGCAAAAAAGGTCTCTTCTGAATCCCTTTCTAACACATTTTACAATTTTCTCTAACCACTGGTTTTTGTCTTAGATAGGATTCATTGTAATTGTTTGTAAATGTGTCTGTTGCTAGTGGCCAAGAAAAAATGTCATAAAATAGCGAAACGAAACGAACTATGAAAGAAATTTCTCTGCTGCAAAACAGAGAATATTTTTAATGCTTGTTACCTCTTTATATAGATAAAGGTGATAGTTAATTTTTTTCCACTTGCTTGCATCATTTTATCATAAGGTAAATGTTAGGCATCATTTCCTTCGCACTTACCACTTTACAATTCAACAGCAAAATTATAAATAATTACCAGATGTCCTTTGTCTTTTATAAGCTTCGTGTCTTTATTTATTCAATATCACACTGTTGGCGCTTATGCCACATAAACTTCGATTCAACACAAAAATCACAAAATACTTAAAAATAGTATATCTGTAGAATTTCCTAAAAATAGTATATCTGTTATTTTAATGCGTATGGTTAAGTCTCTTACACTAGAGATAAAAATGGTTTATTCCGTACAGTTCTCCAGTCTCTTACACTAGAGATGAAAATGGTTTATTCCGTACAGCGTTGCCACTTCTCTCTTTCAAATCGCTGAGTTTGTTAATAAAACATTCGTTAGAGTTTTACAAAATGTGAAATAGATAATAAAACAAACTCAAAATTCGCGCTTCCAGGTTCTCGTGTTCGGGTAGAGGAGAACATAATTCAAAATTGGATGGCTTTAGTTACCGCTGTTTTTTCAGAATTCGAAAAACATGCATACATTCATGCAGACTGTTCATTATTTAATTCCTTTAAATATAATAAAAGGCGATAATATTACGTGGCAACATGTTAAAAAGTGATACAAGGCATTTAAGTGTTTCAACGCAATTTCGAGATTGATATCCTATTCGGACCTAACGTCCCTTTTTGGGCTAAAAAAATTAGATTAATTTGAATTCATATTGTATTAAAACAAAGAATTTCCTCGATGCAACTCTAGAGCACATAAATAATTTTTAAATAAAAATATAAACACTTCAGTTAGTTCAATTACCTAGAAAAATAATCATTACACTTTTTTAACCATATGCATTAAAATAACATCTTAAACATCAAATTGAAAATGTTTTGTTAATTATTAAAAGTTATGGAAACATATTATTAAAAATATTTACTAGGTTGTTGTTAGATGATTCTTCCGATTATTTAAAAACACACACGCATTTTACCGTTTTATTGAATTCATTTTATTTTCTTAAAGCTTCTTTAATTATCGATGCTAATGAAATTAAGAATAAGAATAGAATGATATTACAGGTATAATTTAAAAATAATTTTATTTTCTTATCATCCAAACCTCTTTCTTGATTTCAGTATAATCTGAAATGAAAGGCAGTGTCTTATAATTACGTTTATTTTCTTAGAATCGTAAACTTCCTTTGGTAAACATACTGTAATAAAAGAATAATTTTTAAGGATTGCTTTTTATGTAATGCTTTGACCCAATTACAGAACGTTTCCTGCTTAAAAATTAAACCTAAGGTAAGTTTAAAGCTCACTGAGATAGCCTTGACCTTCCTCTCGTTGAAACTTCCTACATCTCTCTCAAAGACATAATATAGACGTGAATGTTATTTCCTTTAAATGTCATCTGTATTCAAGCTAAACAATGTAAAATAAGCTAGTTGCTTAAGAAACTGCAGGCCAATGAACTTGTTTAGAAAGTAGAATGAACTTGCAACAGCCACCAAGTAAAAAACTTACTTTAATAGGTCAAATTAACAACGTTAACGCAAGGATACATTGAAAAGTGTAACACTTTCACTGTGTAGCTAATTCTAATGGAGGAAAAGCATGCGTTGTCATTTCTGTGGTTTAGTAAGTAATCGTTAGTAAACGGCTTCTGAATTTCTTTAAAAAATGATTTTTTTTTTAATAGACGCCTATATAAGAAATTGGTTAGTGACTGTGACTGCCGTACCGATGGGCCCGAGTTCGAATCTCAAAGAGGTATGGATGTTTGTAAATGTAGAGAGAGCTTGTGCGGCATGGGGCTATTCTAAATTTGCGACCAGTCTAAAATACTTTCGAGAGGTTGCGGGTAAGGAAAGAGGGTTGGAAGATCCTCTGACCCGTCCCCTTGGAAGCTCTTCTTCAAAATTGCGAGCAGGACTGAGCAGAGACGTACTGTCCCTTGTACGGTGCCCAAGGCTGTTGCCAACGATAGGAATAATTGTGCCTCCTTGCCAGGATGAATTTCGTAATGAATCGTGCCAGAATGAATTTGGGCTTGGTCTGATATCAAGACAAGCGAGATTAGTCACAAAAGCAACAACAATAAATATAACAGCTTACAACAATATGACAATGACAGGGAGCATTATAAAAGATAATTTATAAATAGCGAATGATAAACAGGAAATCTAATAATACTATGCGTCATACTTACAAGTCCATTACCCCACTCTTTAGATCAATTAGATCTAAATAATATCTTGAACAATTATTAAACAATCGATAATTATTTCACATTACATTTAGCTTAATTATCTTGAGCTGAATACTGAGCAGTGGGGGAAGATTTAGATTGCAGTTGCTAAAGGAAAAATTTTTATTTTTGTTTAGTAAAGCATTTTAAACACTTTTGTATTACTATTAACTACAAACACACAGCTTAAACACATATATAAAAAGAAAGATAAGAAACTAAAATAAAAATTATTTTGTACCAAAGATAAAACTTCCTAATATCTGTTTTCTGTATGCTATTTTAACAATACCTAAGATCTGTAGAAATTTAAAATTTCTAATTAAAAAATTAATTTCCATTAATTTTTAATTAGAACTAATTTCTAATTAAATTTTAACTTTTAATTAAAAAAAAATTAATGAATTAATTAAGGATTCCTAGTGATTTGTATCTCTATCTTACTATTAAAAAATGAATTTCTAAAAATTAAATAATTTCTAAAATTTAAATTTATTTCATAAATTCTAAATAAATAATTTCTAAAAATTTGAAATTAATTAAGTTAATAAATTTCTGAGATTTCTAAAAACTAGAACAGGAAAAATAACGATCTTTAAAAATTAAATCAGTTTTCTGTAATATAATTGTAAATATAACTTCAGAAAATATACACACAAATATAAGATTTTAGTATCGATTTTAAAATCGAAGTATTTGCGCATGTAATTAATGGTTCTTTAATTTTAGTTGGAAACCAAATTGATGCTTTTAGAAAGTGATTTTAAAATGGATATAATTTAATAAAATATCTTTATTAAAATTGTAAAGTTTATAAGTGCAGAATGGAATGCCACACTTTTCCTAGATAATATTTTCAAATGTTAACTCCACTTAAGAAAGATAAGGTATATAAATAAAAATAAATAAACTCGAGGACGCAAATTTAATGTAATACAACACGATCAAAAAATGCATTATTCTCGCTCCAACTATTAATTTCAAATAATTTTAACTTCAGACATTAAGAACAAAAAATTTAGAAAAAAAATCTCAGATTCATTTAAAAAATAATCAGAAAATGATCAAGTCAATAATAGCTTTTAATTCTGGATGGAGAAATATTTTAAGTCAAAAGGTTGCTTTTTCGACTTGAAATGTTTCTTACTTAAAATAATTATTAGTGTTTCTTTCATTTAAATATATTTTAAAATTTAAAAAAAATATTAAAATGTAAAACTCACTTTTTACAGCCCATAATTTCCCTTTGGTGAGAGCTACAACGTATTTCATTAAGGATTGTGAACATTTTCGAGATATGTTACGTTCTTCGTTCAGTTTTAACATTCCTGGCAAAAAAGAACGCACAGCTCCTTTCATAGCATACTTAAAATTATCTTCTAGTGCCTGTATTATGTCAGAAAATTTCTCAGCATCACTTTTTTCTACAGTAATAGTCTCCGCTTCTTCTTCAGATGGAACAGTTTTTGCTAAAATGCCATACAGGAGAAATAAAAACACGAGAGTTTGAATCTTCGGAAGACGCATTATTGAAATATATTCAAAAAAGAGCTGCAAAATTTTATATTTTAGAATATAAGGATCTCAAAACAATCTTACTAATACAGAAAACGATTTTTTAGCTAAAGACATACTATTATGAAAACAGATTATTATAGAAATTCAACGCTTAAATGCGCTTCAATTTTATGTGACGTCACGCATTTTCGTTTGCGAGAGCGCTGCTGATTGGGCCTCCTCTTCCGTTTCGTCAGTTCAGCGCCGAGCAATTGAGATTCAGTTTCTCTAAGTTCTCTTCTAGAACAAACGTTACTAAGCTGGATTTTTGTATGAAAAAAATATAAAATAAAGAATGCGAAAATTAGATCTAGAAGCTATTCAAGGTCATAAAGGAGAGGATCCGGTAATACCACGTTAAAAATATGTTAAGATACAGTTTGGATGTCTTTCATAGCTTTCGTTTACAGTTTCTATTTCCTATTTAAATGCTTAATTTCTTTATGCTATTCGAATGAAGCACCAAAAATTCTCATTTTTAGAAAAAAGCTGCACAAAAATAAATGTTTTCTTTTTCAAGTCTCAAAACGGCATTTTGCGTTGAATGACTATAAACGGCATAACACTTTTCAAATTGTTGTCACCAAATATTATCGCCCTGTATTATACCTAAAGAAATTTTTAAGAAAAATCTAAAATGTTTCAGATTTTAAATTACGTCCAAAGGGGCGTGTTTTTTTTTTTTTTTTTTTTTTTTTTTTTTTTTTTTTTTTTTTTACGTTCTGTGTGCTACCTTTATTTATTAAATATCATGTTCTTTGCACTTAAACCATAAAATTTAGTTCAATAGTAATGTCGCAAAATAATTTTCAAATGAGCCTATCTTTAGAATTTCCAATACACAGTTCGACGCGCTAGAGATAAAAAGGTTTTTTCTCCCACGTAGAGTGTTGCCATTGCTCGTTTTCAAATCGTTGAGTTTGCTATTCAAAAATTCGTTAAAGTTTTACAAAATACGAAATCGATCATAAAACAAATTCCAAATTTCAAATTTGGGCTTCCACATGCCCATATTCGCAATAGGATTACGTCATTCAAAAGTCGATAGCTCTATTAGCTGTTGTTTTATCACAATGCGAGAAATATAAACACATTTATGCAGATTTTTCATTATTTAATTTCTTCAAATATAATGCAAGACTCTAACATTTTGTGGCAACAGTTTGAAGAGTGAACCGACATTTATAGGAGTCCGACGCAAAATGCCAAAACGAAAGTAATAGTCCTTCGGGACTCAAATTCCTTTGGACTAATAATGAAGAATTTCGATGAATGTATGGATATTTCTAGTATTGTGAAAAAACAACGGTACTTAGAGCCGTCTAATTTTAAATGCCCTAGGCCTCCACCCGAACATCGGCAGCTGGAAGCCCGAATTTTGAATTTATAATTCGTTTTATTATCCTTCCCATAATTTATAAAATTCTGGCAAATTTTTTTATTAACAAACTCGATGATTTCAAAGTGAAGCATTAGCAACACATGGAAAAAACATTTTTATCTCCAGCGAGCGAGATTGTTTACCAGAAATCTAAAGGAATGCTGTTTATAAATATTTTGTGGCTTTGTTGTTAAATCGAATTTTATGTGGCGGAAGCGCCAAGAACATGATGCTTATTATATCAAGTTAACATACCAAATGTTAATAATAAAAAAGCCAAAAAAAATGGTTTGTAGAGCCATCTTAGTAAGGAAATTTGATGATTGATATGATAAACTGATAAAAGACTGAAAAAAAAAGTCAATGCCAACACTTAACGCTATTTCGGGAATTCTAAACCGTATACTACTAAACTAGTTTTAAAATTTTTAATTTTGCTGTTGAATTGTAAAAGCGAAAGTGCGAAGAACCTTAACAAATCCTTTTAGAAAATTTGAAACTTTTCAGGTTTTTATTTTATTTATTATTATTATTATTATTATTATTATATTTATTATTAGTCCAAAAGGGCTATTTGCCCAGAAGGACAATTAATTTCGTTTTGGCATTTTGCCTTGAAATGTCGGTTCACTTTTCAAATCGTTGCCACAAATATTATCGTTCTGTATTATATTTAAAGAAATTAAATAACGAAGAATCTGCTTAGATGTATGTATATTTCTTGCATTGTGATAAAACAACAGTACCTACAGCCATCCAATTTTGAAAAACGTAATCCTCCGCCGAATAAATGGCATCTGAAACTTGTTTTATTACCTATTTCACATTTTGTCAGACATTAAAGAATTTTTGATTAACAAACTCAACGATTTCAAAGCGAGCAATGGCAACACTCTACGGGAAAAAAAAAAAAAAAAAAAAAAAAAATTTCAATCTCCAGCGCGGGAGAGATGTACCGGAAATTTTAAACATATTGCTTTTTTATATACACTCATGTCCATAAATTAAGGATAATTCCGAGTCACGCTGAAATCGAACTCTAAATTAAATATATCACCTGTAAAATCACTACACACATCTTCAAGAATTATATGCAAATTTCAGGAAGTAATCAGATGACACCGATGGTACGTCACAATGACGAGAGTGTAAGAGAGTGATATATAAGGAATGCAGGCAAAGAATTAAAATTGTTCGCAGGCGCTTTACAAGCATTTCAGTGCAATAACCGGATAGTTATGACACAAAGGACGCATTTGGATGATTTTTTACGTGGTAGAATTATCAGCCGTCTGGGCGTACCCAACTGGAAGTATCAGACGAACTTGGAATTGTTCAGAGTGTCATCTCCAGGCTTTGGCAACGATTCCAAGATGATGGTAATGTGAGTAGACGTTACAGCACAGGTCACCCCAGAGTTACAACGCCGAATGAGGACCGGTATTTGGCAGTTACTGCCAAAAGAAACAGGCGGAGCACAGCCTCAGACCTGTCTCGTCAGCTCTCTTCAGCCACTGGTACGACAATTTCAAGGCAGACCGTTTCAAGATTGGTCTATATGCTCGTAAACCTGTCAGATGCGTTCCACTTACTGCAACTCACTGTCGCCTACGGTTAGCCTGGAATAGGGAGCATGCATTGTTAACACCGCAACAGTGGGCTTGTGTGATGTTTTCCGACTAGTCCAGGTTTAGCTTGCAGTCTGATTCTCGCCGGACTTTCATATGGAGAGCTCCAGGTATCCGTTACCATCAAGAAAACATCATTGAACGACACCGTTACGGTGGTGCAGGAGTGCTCGTTTGGGGTGGAATTATTCTGGGTTCCAGAACTGACCTGCATGTTCATATTGGAACCATAACAAGCCAAATCTATCGGGATGTCATTCTGGAACAACACGTACGTTTGTTTCGGGGCGCCATGGGCGCACAATTTGTGTTTGTTGATGACAACGCCCGTCCTCACCGTGCAAACATCGTAAGCGAATGCCTTCAATCGGAGGATATCACCCGTATGGCCTGGCTAGCATTCTCACCGGACTTGAATCTAGTAGAGCACGTGTGGGACATGCTTGACCGACGAGTTGCAGCCCGTCAACCTCCTCCTACATGTGTACCGGAACTTCGGAGGGCACTGCTTTGTGAGTGGTGTAATATCCCCAAGATCAGATCGATAATTTGATACTCAGCATGCCTAGGCGTTGTACGGACTGTATTGCATCGTCTGGGAGACATACAATGTATTAACAATCATACCAACCATGTAATATTGGTTTTTATAAATAGGTTTTTTTTTTGGTAATTTGCTCCAGGGAGAAAAAATCGCTAATTTTTTTAATAATATCAAACATATAGCATCTTTTTTTGCTCTTTACTTTTTGTTTAATAAATAAGCTTTACAAATAAGTCAAATTTGTTTTGCTTCTAACTCTTCCTTTGCCTGATTTTGCATTATCCTTAATTTATGGACATGAGTGTATTTTCGGTATTGCTGTTGAATTGAATTTTGTGGTTTAAGTGCGAATAACATGATATTTAATAATTTTTTTATTACTTTATTTTATTTTTTAATTTTTATTCTAATGCTGAAACGAAATTTGGGAATATGATAACAAACTAAGAGAAAAGAAAGCTTCTCTTCAATTTTTAATGGAACAGGGTCCTGGGACTATTCCTAATATTGAACATTTTAACAATATTTTGGTTTAAAGGGAATGCATGACTAAAAAAGCTGTGAAATTTTAGAAGAGTATTTGCGCTACTAGCAGCTTGTGCGGCTAGCCGCCAAAAATAGTCCTGAAATAAAAAACATTATGTAGTGATTTTAATGAATCCAGCAAGTGTAATGTTTTGGATACAGTTAGTAATTATTAACTAAAGAAATGAAAACTGCTTTTATTGCTTTTAAATCGCTTAAACTGTTAATCAATAAAAAACTAATTTTAAAAGAAGAATTAAGTACTTTAGACTTTTTTGAATGGCAAATCACTGATGCGTGGAAAAGAAAAAAGTTTTATTTCGAGCAGTGGCAACATATTTCTTTTAAATCGTGGAATTTGTTCATTAAATCTGAAAAACAAGTATTTCCGAGTGGCAACACATTTATTTTAAATCGCAGATTTTTGTGATTAAATTTGAAATATATGCTTTGCCGAGTAGCAAAAATTGCTTTTAAATCAGTAAATTTGTTAATTAATATTTCCTAAGATCCCCCCAAAAACATAAAATGACTGAAAAAAAGTGTAAAATTCAAAATTCGGACTTTGAATTGGACATATACGGAGGGCATGACTACGTGTATTCGAAATTTAGTGGCTGCAGGAGACGCCGTTTCTTCCCCATACGAACAGTATACATACATTAATACACATGTTTCATTATTTAATACTAAAGATATACGCCATTAAAAATAGAAAAGTAGATAAAATTACGTACAGTAATTATAAAAATGTGTTTTAATTCTTTTACAATCCTTAGCAAAATGTAAAAATTTGGAGAAAAGAGTAGTTAACATTTTTTTATTTCCTTGTACGAAATAAAGGAGGTATGGTAACTGCGAAAACTTTCGGGTATCATGTAGGGTTTCCCTCATTTTGCATACCAAATTTATTTTAAGTTTGATACATTTCCTGAACTTCTCAAATTCCCCTCGCATTTTCTCGCCAGGATGTAAATCTAAAGTTAAGTAAATGAGTATTTAAACGGGTCAATCTCTGAGTT